CTCAAGACCCGATCCGTCGAGGTTACAACGCATAACCCTGAGTCCCTCGCGATCCGATATGTATAGCTTCTCGTTATCTTTATCAAGAGCAATCTGTTTTGGGGTATGTATCTGGCCCTTGGACAAGATGATCTGCGGGTCTGTACCATCCAAACGAGTCGAAATGACACTTCCATCGTTCAGAGGAGGGACTCCCATGTTGGTCATGTAGAGCCGTTGGTTAGCTGGATGGTATATGACACCATCGGGTAAGGAGAGGAAATGGCTGTCGCTCAGAATGGTGGAGACTTGCTTGCCATCCAGTGAGATGCCGAGAACCTCTCCCTGGGAGATGATGTCTCTGAAAGACTTCCCAGCCACAGGGTTGCTAAGCCCGACATCGAGTGCGATCAGAAAGGTAGAGCTAGTCATGGTGCAATGTATGAGAATTGAGTTGTAGGATGACTATAGCGTCAAGTGATTGTTACAAGGGCCAAGCGAGGTGAATATTGACCAATGTTTGACTGGACTTTAAATATTCAAATCTGCCTCTGTTATCTCTTTGCCCGCTTTCACGCCAGTGTTTGGAACTTTGGTCCGTCCTAGTGTATAGTTAAGCTCCAGATGTGCATAAACGAAAAGCCTTGTTAAAGTCCGCCAATTTTGATCGGCATTGCCACAAGAGTCTAACTTGTGTAGGTATAAGTGGCTTGGAGAACGGTCAGTGTTGCTCCCTACTGAATTCGGGATAGAGCCTGCAGGAACGAAAACGACTAAGCTATCAACGGACTTAGCATGAAATTCCAATATTCTGTATAGCTTGCTTCAAGCAAGGCAATACCACCTACTCATTAGCTGTGCTTACTTTCTTAGGGGGGCTATTACATTACCAAACCTAATCAAAGAGATCTGCGAGCTCCTTTACCATAGATACCAAAACATTAGCACAATCAATCGGGTTAGTGATGAAGAGCACAGCGTAAGTAGGCGTCATCCTCTAAAGGATAATTTAGAGGGGTTTGTCGATGCTAGAAAATACGATTGCAGTATAGTCCTGGTTGACCATATATCGCATGACAGCCTTGAACTCTTAGCAAAATTCCATTTCAGACCATAAGATATAAAACCTGACCCAGTGACACTTGGCTCTTATCCAGTACTCGACGTGTATTCCATTGCGTCACGAAAGCTCATCATATTCCCTCATCAACCTGAGATCAATCAATTCCATCCCGTTATGTCTAAGCAAATCCCCACCCCAAAGGGTTATCCTTTCATCGGCAACGTTCTCGATGTGAACCCAGACCATCCTCAAGAAAGTCTTGCGCAGATTGCTGAGTCATACGGTATGTCAATATCCTGCCTTTCCCTCTATGCGATGCTTTTACCAATGTTTCTGCGGTAGGACCGATCTTTAGACTATACCTTCCAGCTGAAAGGATCTTCGTTGCCAACTACGCCCTCGCCAAAGACCTATTTGATGAGGCAAGATTCGAGAAAGCTGTCACAGGCCCTCTCGAACAAGTCCGCAATGCCACTAAGGATGGCCTATTCACGGCGTACCCTGGAGAACACAACTGGGAGGTTGCGCATCGAACCCTCATGCCAGCCTTTGGGCCTCTTTCTATCCAGAGCATGTTTGGTGGTGCGTATGGGATATTAGTCAGGGCTGGGGCGCTTAGCTAATGAATTCTATAGAGATGCAAGACATTATATCTCAGATGGTCTTGAGATGGGCTAGATTTGGGCCACGTACACCGGTCGATGTCTCAACTGACTTCACAAAGCTGACTCTCGATTCGATTGCACTGTACGTTGGCAATTATTCTATTAGGGCAATGCCGAAACTGACCAACTCCCACAAGATGTGCCATAGGAGAACGGTTCAACTCGTTCTACCATGACGATACTCATCCCTTCGTAAGCGCCATGAACAATATGCTTGCCGAATCCTTTGCTCGTTCGCGACGCCCGGCCTTTGCTTCTGCAATAATGAAGGCCAGTAGCGAGAGATATCAATCCGATATTGCGGAGCTGGAGAGCATCTCTACGGAGCTTCTTGAAGCACGTCGACAGAATCCCGTGGATAAGAAGGATCTCCTCAATGCAATGATCAATGGAAGAGATCCCAAGACGGGCGAGGGACTGGATGACGACGCAATCATCCGGAATATGATAACATTCCTCATCGCAGGTACATCGAGCGACTCTTACCCGAACCACAGCAACTTTCTGACAGCTTCATAGGCCACGAGACTACATCAGGTCTTTTATCCTTTCTCTTCTACCAATTGCTCGAAAACCCTTCAGCTCTCAGACAGGCCGTAGAAGAGGTCGACAGGGTTCTTGGCTCGCAACCTATGACGGTTGCACATCTAGCCATGTTGCCTTATATTGATGCGTGCCTCAAGGAAACGCTACGACTTTATCCCACGGCACCCGCGTTCACTCTCCGGGCGAAAGGGGACCAGGTCTTGAATAGCGAGTACACTATTAAGGACAAGGACTGCGTCAGCATTTTGCTGGCAAGACTGCATCGCGATCCCGATGTCTATGGCCCTGATGCAGAAGAGTTCAATCCGTCTCGTATGTTGCCAGACAAGTTCAACAAACTACCCCCAAATGCCTGGAAGGTAAAATACCAACTCAGAGTCGAGTGACATATGCTGATTTGTCCATAGCCGTTTGGTCATGGCGTTCGAGCCTGTATTGGTAGACCCTTTGCTATACAGGAGGCCATCATGGCGACCGCTACCATCCTTCAGACGTTCCACATAACCAAGGACAATCCTTCATATCAGCTCCAAATTCGGACAGCCTTAACCATCAAGCCCCAGGGCTTCAAGATCAGAACTAGACTCAGAAACCCATCATTCCTCCAAGGTGTTGAACTCAGCCATAGCAGTAGCTCTGGCACCGCGGCCTCTTCCAAGACACCATCCAGGTCCCATGCTGTCAAAGAAGGAAATTCGGAACCCATTTCTATCCTGTTCGGATCCAACACAGGTACCTGCGAAGCTCTTGCGCAGTCTCTCGCCAGTTTCGCCGAAGAAAATGGCTACGTCCCCAAAGTTGACTCGCTGGACAATGCAATCTCTTCCCTGAAGCCTGACGTGCCGGTAGTGGTTATCACCGGAAGCTACGAAGGACAGCCGCCGGACAATGCATCTCATTTTATGGAATGGCTAGCGTCGCTTTCGTCGGGCGGTCTCATCAAGGTTCCTTACGCTGTGTTTGGCGTCGGCAATGGTAAGCCAACCCCCCCCTCTCCATGAGTTGCTGTTTCCCCCTGACGAATATCTATAGAGGAGTGGCATGCCACATACCAGAGAATCCCAAGTCTCATTGATGAACAGCTTGAAAAGGCGGGTGCCACGCGCCTCGTCACCAGAGCAGCTGTTGATGTAGCCAAAACTAATTGCCTCGATGCTATCGAAGAGTGGCAGGAAAGGGAATTCTGGCCAGCTCTGCAGAAACAGTCCGACAAGTCAAGCAACACGGCATCGGGCGGAGCTCGTGAGCTGAAGCTAGACATTAGCACTGGGCTGAGACCAAGTATCCTTCGACAGGATGTCATGACGGCGCAGATTTCCACGATGCGGTTGTTGAGCAAACCTGGTACGCCTAGGAAGCGTCACATCGGTATCATCCTACCTTCTGGGACGACGTACCGGGCTGGTGATTACTTGGCTATCCTGCCGTTGAACCATCCCGACGTTGTTCACCGAGTAATGAGGAGGTTCAATCTCCCTTGGGATGCGACTGTGGTCATCGATGGTTCCAAATCAACGAGCCTACCAACCGACCAGCCGTTGTCCGTACAAAATCTACTCGCTGGAATGGTAGAGCTCGGCCAACCAGTGACCGAGCGTCAGGCACAGCAGCTGGCTGAGACAATTCCAGACAAGATCAAGTCGGATGAGCTGAAGGAGCGTGTCAACCAGGGTAATATCCACAAGCTGAACACCACTTTACTGGACCTCCTAGAGGATTACCCCTCTGCGACATATTCGTTCGGGCAGTACTTGGCGGCTCTACCAGCTCTCCATCTGCGCCAATACAGCATCTCTTCTTCACCCATAGCCTCGCCGTCACCGTCCGAGTGTTCCTTGACATACAGCGTCATAGACGCCCCTGCCAGAGGAAGCTCTCAGGGACATCGATATCTGGGTGTTGCAAGTACTTATCTCGAACGTCTCCAACCAGGGGATCACCTTCAGGTCGGTGTCCGTCCGAGCCGCTCCGGGTTTCACCTTCCAATAGACAACAAGACACCAATCGTAATGGCATGCGCTGGCACAGGTCTCGCTCCATTCTACGGCTTCGTAGCGGAGCGCGCCGTCAAGAAAAGACAGGGCCTGGATGTTGGTACGGCTCTGCTGTTCTACGGTTGCAACGATCCTGATGAGGACGATCTCTATCGCCAGCAGTTCGATGAATGGGAGCACGAGGGCGTAGTAAAGGTGTATCGCGCGTACACATTCGCCTCGAAAAAGTCGGTGAATTGCAAGTTCGTGCAAGACAGGATGTGGTTTGACAGGAAGGATATTGTAGCGTCATTCCGTCAAGGCGCTCAGATCTACATATGTGGCGCTGGGATCGTGGGAAGTAGCATCCAAAAAGTATTGGTCAAGATAAAGGCTGAAGTGGCAGATTGCGATGAAGAAACGGCGGCCGAGTGGGTTGACAGCATGAAAGGGGAAAGGTACTGGGCCGATGTGTTTGCTTAAAATTCGACTTTCGTCTACGTAAGAAGAAATAAATGATTACTCTGTTCCATATGACTTCATCCCAGACATCCAAAGAGTTAAACGCAGCCTCTCCCTCGAGCGACTTTACTACTTTCGGAGAGTTCGGCATGTCCGGCTCCAGGCCCAATCGGAGCCAGACAAGCTGTAGTGGTGACGTATTGGTGCACAGTCTTAGTAACTAGCGCTCTGTACAGGGGTGGACAAATAAATAGCAGACTCTGGGCCCGGCCATCGTAAGCTGAAAAGAAGCAGTCAGATACTCCGCAAAGCATGAAGCAAACACACCGAAAGGTCCGCAGCGGATGCATTGCCTGTAAAAAGCGCAGAATCAAATGCGATGAACTCAAACCACAGTGGTATGCGCTATTTTGACCATCGCACTTAGCAATCTGCGTTAATACTATATCTTCAGTTCATATTGCCAAAGGCAGATTGCCAAGAACAGACAACTGCATCCTTGTTGTTACCCAGAGGGAACCAACCTCGATATAGCATCTGCATCTTCCCATCAGGACGAAACTGTCCCCAGTCCCACATCTAGCAATTGTCTCTCAATCATCTCCCAGTATGGGTGGCCTACCGCCATACCTGCTGTGGAGAAACGACTTCTTCAGCATCTCTGTCATGTCCGAATTGACCTTGACAATGTAATAGATCTTGGTCTATTTGCAGGCGCGACTCAGTGGAACGGGTATATTGCGGAGCCTTCAACAGTAGCTGATTTGGTACTGAGCTTCTTACAGATTTATGTCAATGGCTGGTCGCTATGATCACCTTCGATTCTGTATTTGCAGTATCGCCGCAGGTCACTTGCGAACTCTTTACAAGTCCACTACCGAATACGAAGTCGAATGCCAATATAGAACGCACGCTATACGAGAAATGGCCACGCAGCTAAGTGTTATACTTGCCACTCCACAGCAAGAGCATAAAGAATCTTCACAAGCCCTTCTTGCATCAACAATCCTCATGGCCTGGTACAGCGATACTAGGTAATCTCACCTCCACATATATCAACCTTGACGAACATTACGAATAACTGTTTAGGCACGAATATAAGAACCTTTTGAATGGCGTTTTTGCAGTAAGCCTTCTCTTGACATTCTCATTACACTCTGTGGGGTTCTAAATTATAGCTATAGTTATGGCCCAAATGCAGTGGAAGCTTCCTCTTGGAGCATTTTGATACTTTGGAGCCGCCTATAAACCTGTCTTCCCTGCCTCAAGATCCGCAGAATCGAGGTCGACTACCAGAACAGGACTATAGGCTTCTCAACACCGTCGCTGACTCTTTGCATCAGCTATCAACATGCGATCTTGATAATGACCTCAAGATCGCGGTACAGGAATTATCGAATCTCATTCACAACACTCGTTCTTTCCTACTATCACGGGATGAGGCACCGCAACATGATGCCTTCTCTGTCATCTTCCCTATCCGAAACTGGCTGAGAATTGTTCCACGAGCTCCAGAGGAGTTATCCAGTAGCAGCTTTCTGGTTCTCTTGTATCTTTCTAACTATGAAACAGCCATGCTGCTGATGGGAATTCTTTTCCCTCTCATAAATCTCCCATTAGCAATTGATAAGAGATATACTAGCGTCTTAAAACTGCAGGACTATACCCAGACTGCTTTTGAAGCATACGCAACTAGCACTGGTTACACTAGACAAGTAACCAATGTTCAGAAGGCTACTAGGCAATGGATTCTGGCTTCTAATATATGTTTAGAGAGCTATAATAGTTCTACTAGACTTCTATAAAAAAAGGAAACAAGATATTAATACTTAGGTATTTCACTATATATACTTAACAAGGAATGCAGGAAATAGGCCAGCTTGACGCTGAGGACTCAAGATCCACAACATCATCCTCAGGATCCTAGATGAATTGTAGATCGATCTCAAGGGAGCTCTGAGTCTTAAGGAAAAATGTGAAGCAGCCGGTGCGCTAGGAAAATTGAAGAGGAGAGCACCCAAAGACTGGTGGCTGAGAGCTTAAATTAGCAGAGGGAAGTTGGTGTCAAAGGAATATGGCAAATGCAGCCATGGTTGAGCTCCCGTTCCGATGTTATGTCCCCTGCGTAATCTCACCTGACTTGTCATGATTTGCTCGTAGGCGCCTTCTCTCACCGTGGCGCCGTTTTACTTGAGTATTAATGTGGTAGAGAACTAAATATTTCGCTATGGGGGTAGGTTTGGTATCTGTAACGGCAGTGGCCTTTTCGGTCACTTCGTATACTACTGCTTCGATTATTTGAGCTAAAAATGGGGTTGGGAATTCTCATCATCTTCCAGCAAGGTAATATTCTTATTGGCTTGCCTACGGCATTCACTGTCTATGCTAAGAGACCTCGATTAAGCTTAGCTTGAATGTGGTGGTCTGCTTCCTGTGTTGTGAGAACATTCGAGACCGTTATGAATTGAGTTTACCAACATTCCAGGCAAGGTAGCAGTTTATGCGCCACTTGCTTATTTCCAAGTTTGCCAGCGTGGGGACGGCATAATAATCACGAATCGGGAATATCACCACATACTACTACAAAATGCCTCAAGGTCATATATACTTCGAGGCTAAGCTAAGTGCTTTTAGTAACAAACTAAGTATCTACATAGCCAAGGGCTGACAGAGATCTTTAACTAGTAAACTCAATTGCATTGTATCTTATGAGAACTTGATAACTAAAAGTTCGAAGTTACTACTTAATCCTTCACGTGGTAGGTACAGGAATGGTGTGGCTTATAGGCCCATTAAATACTAATGAGGCTATACCCTGATCTCATTCCAAGGCTTTCGCACAACCCTGGGGGGAATTTCTCGGGCTGAAAGCCTTTATAAACCCAGCATCTCCCTGCAATAATCCCGGTACAAGAGGACAAATTCATTTTACGTTGTAGATCCTGAAGATACGCCGAATGTCCCCTTGTCCCTAAGCTTCCCAACAATCATCTAATATTCCTCGGCACTATGTTGTCCAAACTCCTCTCTATCATATTAATTTCAAGCGCTCTCGCAGCGTCGCAAACTCCTCTCCCCTATGGCAATGAGCCAAATCGATGCGATGCCACTTGCCAAATTGCCTACCGACAGGTGCTAGCTATGGAGGCAGAACGATGGGTCAATCAAGATATCACCACTGATTCCTTCTATTCAACCCCCTCAAATGTGTCAAAGTATTCGACTGGAGATATCCTAAAATGGGAAAAGATCCCATCTGAGCAGGCTTATCGGCGATGGACTGTGCCTGCTGGCATATCTTTGATTCGTTTCTTTTACATGTCTGAGGATATTAAAGGGAAACCCCTTCCAGCTACTGGCATTGTGCTTATTCCATACTCCAATCCGCAGGGGAACAAGCCATTCCGTACTGTTGTTTGGACTCACGGAACAGCTGGCGGAACCCGACAGTGTTCACCTTCGAACCATCGCGCACTACTCTATGGGTGGTCAGCTCCGTTTGCTCTAGCCCTTGCAGGTTACGTCGTTATTGCCCCTGACTACGCAGGCCAGGGAAGTGAGGCCCAGGGCTTTATGTACGAGGCTGGTATTCTCCATGCAGCAGATGCCAGCTTAAGCGTCCAGGCTGTACGCAAGGCTCTAGGCAGCAAGATTACGAAGGAATGGGTTGTTATGGGGCACAGCGAAGGCGGAATGTCTTGCTGGCGCACCAATGAGCGAGAGGCAAAACCGGAGGCTACGGGCGGCCTAATTGGGGCGGTTTGCGCTTCCCCTGGCCTTGTTCCAAGCAAGATTATTGCTGAAATGATCCGTCGTGCCGGAGATGGACCTGCTGGAGACTTTCTCTCTTCCCTCATGCTACAATCGGTTTCAAGGATCTACCCCTCTATCAAAGTTAAGGATTATGCTTCTGATATTCTTCTTGCTCGGATGCCTCTGGCCGACCAAGGATGTTTCTATACTTCAGCTGCCCTCTACAGCAACCTAACTGTCAGCCAACTCTACAAGAACACCAGTTGGATTCAACACCCCGATTTCATCAAGTGGGAGACAGTCTATAATGGTGCAGGGCCTCATAAACTGGCAGCTCCATTACTTGTGATCCAAGGCGCCGAAGATACCTTGGTATACGCTGACACATCTGAGGAGGCCTTCAACGAAACATGCAAAGAGTTTGCTAGCTCGACGACTGCTGAGTATAGGCTATACCCCGGCCTTGGTCACGGTGCTGTTCTCCCAGCTTCACAGCAATACTTCCTTTCGTGGATTGAGGATCGCTTCAACAAGGTTTCTCTCAAAAAAGGTTGTAAGAAGCTGACTTTGACACCCGAAACCGACAACTTTTCCCCAGTTAATGATGAATGGGTTGCAGTACTTAGTTAAGATAGCTTAAGGCTGGGAACAAACTAGTGAAGTGTAGGTCACATGCAAAGACGTCAATATACTATTGTTATTATCTCCACAATCTGAATGGATAGCGTTTGGCAACGGTAGATTTTTGCAATTACTCGATCATGGAGTCTGTCCTGCCCAAGTATTTCAGGGGAATTATAAGAGGCAATTCTCAGCCGAGATGGGCAATTCGTACTTACCAGTAAATATCAAATGCTCAATGCCAGTGCCGTATCATCCCTAGTGCCTATTGTGCAGATCGAGACCTGTGGCTGAGAGCTTAATCCAGCCGAGAGAACCTAGAGACCTGTGGTCTTTATGAAAGCCATCTCACATATTTGATGCGGCGTACTAGTAGAAGTAAAAGACCCAGAATCTACTGTCAGCGCGTAAGACCTACAAGGACTATATTTCGATATCTTTGCCGTGTGAAAGTGCATGATACCGGTAAAAGAAAGGGATGGATAAATTGGCACTTGTACCCATTAGGGAGTTTACTTTATCAAAATGCACTCTGTGTCGCCGCTGGCTACCTCCCGACTACCACATTCTCTCCCAGGCACGCCTGGCCCAAGTCATTTCAGCCAGTCTAGCTTTCTCAACCTCCTCAATACCTCCTTCCTCCCAGTGTCTGCATTCCTCATCAATCTCAGCCTTACCAGTGATCAAATCTGCATTTTTGGGACTGACGATACCCTTACCCTCTCTCCAATACTTGATCTTGCCAACCAGATACATAACAGCAGTGAAAGCAACGGCAAAATAAGAGGTGATGAAACCTCGCAGGCTGAACGGGCTGAACACGTCAAAGCCTACGAAAAAGATCGCTGTGCATCCCAGAGCGAGGGCCATTATGGGAGTGTATGGTGTATAAGGCGCGACGTAAGAGAGGGACTCGTCAGTGAGACCCTGTGCCTTGCGAGCACGGTAGAACCCAATGTACGCGAGTAGCATAAAGCTGTATGAAGCGATGAATGCGGTGGTGGTGAGGTCGACGAACCAGAAGAAGACTTCGATAGCCGAGTTGGAGGCCACAAGGAAAGTAACGCAAGAGATCAAGGAGACGGCTGCGGTGGAGTAGATCGGGACTCCAGTCTTGGTACATTTCATCAAAATCTTGGGAGCTTGATGATCTAAAAGAATTATCAGTGGTCTGGTCAGCTTCGATAAGGAGTGGATCATGCTCACCTCTGGCAAGGCCATAGAGCGTTCGACTAGCAGCGAAAAGATAAGCGTTACCACAAGAAAGCCCAGACACGAGGATGAGGGCATTGATGAAGTGAGGCAAGAATCCGATTCCAAGATTCTGAATGCCAATTACCCATGGGCTCGCTGCAGCACCAGAAGAGCCATCTGCGATAGCGCTAATGAGCCTCTTATCCTTCGATGAGCATATAATGCCAACAGCAAGAGCTCCGACGATATAAAACCCGACAAGACGGTAGAATATCATACGCGCGACTCGTGGAATAGTCCGACGAGGATTCTGGATTTCACCGGCCGCAAGGGCAATCATGTCAGGCCCAGCGATAGTAAATGCCGCATAGATAACAACCGACCACCAGCCGAGGAATCTACCAGTGGGACCTTTGGCGTAGTATTCGTGCATGGCTCCGTCCTTCCAGTTACGAAACCCATAGGCATCACCTTTGGGATTTCCGCCGGCCATCGTTATAATAGTGATGAGGACAAGGAGAATGAGCAAGAACACCTTGGTGATGGCGAGAATAAACTCGGCTTCACCATACCATCTGTTGAACGGTTAATTTCTGCTGTAATACTGTGTACTGATATACTTACTTGACCGCAACAACATTGAGAAAAATACAGATAGCCATTGAAACGGCTATCCATACAGCAGGATTCGTCGTACTATCCCAGTACTCGGCCACGGCGGCAACAGCACTGTACTCAACACAAACAAGCATGCACGTCCCGAAGAAATAGGTCCAGCCTAGGCTGAAGCCAACAGCTGGTTCGACGAAGCGAGAGGCAAGTTCAAAAATGGAGCCGCGAACGGGGAGATATGCCATCATTTCTGCGACGCACAGGTACGTGGGCCAAATGAAGAAAATGCCCCAGAAGGTGTATCCAAGAAGTAGAGAGAGCGGTCCGGCTTGACTCAGATAGCCCCCAATACCGACCTGGTTCTCATCAGCTTTGATCATGGATGGAATTGGATGGTTGGCCTACCCATAGTGCGGTTCCGATGGAGCCACCGATGGCCATGAGCTGGACGTGACGAGGCTTTAGACCACGCTGAGTCTGTCCATACTTCTCGACCAATTCATTGACTACCGGTTTATTGTCGGTGTCAAGTAGGGAGCCAGGACGGTTACTTTCCACGGGTGAGATGCCCAGTTCAGTTTTGTTGGCATCCATGATGGGAGAAATGAAGTGAGATCGGATTGGAACAAATGTCTTGAGTGTTACTCAAGCGTTGGCATTGAGCTGTGGCAGCGACGATAGCGCGGATGTCAAGGGATATATATACCCGTTTCGATTCATTGCTCTAAAATGGCTTCGCATTTATTGCTGTGAACAACACTCACAGTTGAATCATATTCACTATCGCAGATCTGCTTATCTGCAACATCAAGACAAACAAACTATCCCCGTTGTAGAATGTTCAGGCGACTTGGACCGGATCTACCCCCGAGTCTCCGACTACCGAGCGTCCAGACTTGGCTGCCAACGCTAACAGCGATAGCAAGGTTTAACGTTTACCACGGTTGTGCAGATTGACCAATCTCCTTGCAAATGTATATCAGCCACATGATGGCCGATAAGCTATCGTAGATGGGGTAATCTGATGCACTTCTGAAGATGGAAATCTGGAGCGACTGGTGCACTTCCCCGCGTTTTAGCGTCTGCGCTCGGAGCTTCTACTAACTGTCTGTTATCTAAGCTGCTGCTCTCGTCTCTAGGACGTTGTCGTTCAAATAGCCCGCTTTTTATGCTCTCGGCCTTTCCTTATCTGAATCATGGGACAGATAACACCGATCTGCTAGGAAGGTAGAGGTTCATCATAGGCTACAAGGCATTGGATACTAATGGCATGTGAACGTTTAATTTCTACAGCATAGATGAAAACCCATATTTTCCAATACCCTTAGTCGTATGTCTATTTTCATTCGTATGCCATTACACCTCCGGGTTTTACATAAGGCCTAGCAAAGCTGGATCTGTGCTACCTTCTGACAAAGCCTGTACCGCCCCTTCTTGGCCCAAGTACGCTTCCCAGTGAAGTCCATTCTCCCCGTAATCATTCCCCTGATTTGGGGCAGCGCCCATCAGAGAGCAGCAGCCGGATAGCTTCGACTTCTCCATAGCCAACCGCAACGTGAAGGCCTGTTAAACCCCGTGATCCGCCGCGCTTCTTAAGGTGCATCTCGTCCTACATTTTGCAAAAGGATCTTCAAAAGGCCTGCTACATCCTCTCAAGCGCAGAATTACAGTGGCTTCAATGCCCAAAGCGCGGGGTCGCCCCGAGGATATACGCACTGATACCACGCCGCAAAGTTACCCACCATTTGGAAGTTTTGCTTAGGTGAACGAACTCAAGACGGCAGTATGAGTCTATTTCAAAGCCTGAAAAGGCGGCGCATGTGACGGGTCCAAAGGAAACAGGCATACTCAACAACTTCATCTCTATACCTATACCAGACTACGTTTACTGAGCCTTATACTTCTGCTGGGGTAAATATTCCATGAGAGGCATCGAGTAGCTCGTCGAGATAGTCCCAATTGGTTTCGTATTGCTGGGCCTCCCCTTGTTTCCAGCCCCTTCCCTCAGTTCCATTTGGTGACACCTGTATATCGGCTGTGATTTGCATGCTTTCGCTGCTTTGTTGTGCCCTCAAACGAGAGATTGTAGCTTCCACTATCGATAGAACTCTGGATCGAGCCCTTGCTCCATCTTCTGAATTTTCAGTTTGAATCATTGTTCTGACTCTTTCCAACAGAAGCTTTACACTCAGTTCATTGATATAAAATCCCTCGGTGATCTGGATCGCTGCATGGGCCACAAGACACAATGTGGTAACACCGAGTAAGAAGTCATGCCAGGTGATACTCTTCATCAACCACTCCTCGGTATCCAGCTGGCCTCCAGGTTTGCACTCCTCGTAGACTTGTAGAAGGTCAGTTACCAGGGCAGATGATGCCGAATAGCATTTTCGAATGCTCTTATCTCGATGTTTGGTCACATGTGGACGATGAAGAACACATAGGCTTTTGTAGTATATAGAAGAGATACAAAAGCGAGCGACGATGAGTTGAGGATGGTCGATGATACAACTCTCGATTGGCCGAGGCTGATATAATTCCGGCAGGTTTCCGTATAAGTCTTTGAGTTCGGTATCCAAGGAGTCAATGCGAGCGTCTATTACCTCGTGTGAAGGATTTACCAGCGCATGTTGAAGAATCTTGTCGAATACTGTCATGAATTTGTGCTTTAGAATGCAAAATGTCACACCAGTCAGCTCAGAATCCGGTCGCGAGGAGGGCAGTCGAGCGCTGTGTTCATCGAAATCGGAATCGAGAAGATTACTTGGAATCCGCGTGTCTGAGACTGCCAAGGTGATTCTCGACGGAACACCCAGATGGAAGGATACTAGAAGATCAAGCTGCATGAACGAACTCCATGCCCTGCGTCGCATCTCTGCTGTGAAGGGACTCAGACTTGGAACGCTACTCTCTCTGTGATAGCCCGAAATCATGGCAATGTGGGCGAGCACGCTGATGAGAGCCCCCATATCCGGAGAGATTTCCAGACAAGTGACAAAGCGTGAATGGAGATAAAGCAGTAGTGCCTCAAAGCAGAAGGCCTTGGGGCGGAAATACTCGCTCAGAGAGAGACACTGGGCGGCAGCAACTGTAAATCCATGCCCTGGTATCTCATTTTCTTTGCCAGTTCGAGATATGTTGGCGGCGATGAACAATATTGAAAAGAGGATTGATATCCAAAGTGGCGAGGCTGCGCTAGGGTCGCTCCAGAAAGCCTCGTACTGCCTCTGAAATTGCACTGAATGTATATATGGCGTGATGTACGACCGAACGCGGAAATATGTAGATACTAGGCGGTCGGTGCTCCTTCGGGATGGAAGATAAGTACTAAGTACTTGTTCGATGCTGACGGTTTGTGAAAGGCCAGCGCCGAACATGACGTCCATTCCCATTCCAACGTCTGCCTGAGGAGCACTCGTGTCTCCTTCATCTATGTCATTGCCCTCAGGAGGATCGAGTGTAGACCTGAGAGCTTGAATGTCATCCAGCATAGCTGACCAGTGTGTTGCACCGCTTCCAGCCTGGTCGGAGCGAGAAGACGATGATGCGATTGTGCGTTCCCCAGTGTCCGAATCGTGTGGCAACTCAACAGCCGGAGTGCCATATTGAACTCCAATAGTGGTGCTTGAACGTTGTTCCGCGAGTAACCCGACGAGGTGCTCCAGATGTTCAAGACGTGCTTGGGCCTGTGTGTGGCGGAGACGGTCGCGGTTCAGGTCATCAAAGGAAACTTCGTAGGAGCAGGATGTTACATCTCTCCTGCGAATACAGCTGCCGCAGGGACTTTCACGGTCACACTTGAGCTTCCTCTGCCGGCATGCCGAACAAGCCAGCCGCTCTCTGTGCTTTCTCAGCCTAGAAGCGGACCTCATGGTTTGATGCAGGACAAATTCTACTCATGACGATGATAAACGGATAGAGCAGAGACTTTTATAAGGGAGGGGTCATGAGGATAATGTATGCCTTCTCGGGCGCTAATCCTTGATAGGGTTAGTGTCCAGCAAAGATGACTTAAGTCCGCAATGTGTTCCTGCTAAATGTACCTCAGAGCTAGATATATTACTACTTAACAGATTACCCTCATAACGTAAATTTCAAAGCAGCAATATGGATACTTGCCATCACTATTCTAGTGGATGATTTAGTGTTAGCTTTTCCAAGCTCATTTCACCTCCCGCAACACGTTTGATTCCCTCAATACCAGCCTCAGGGCCAGTTACAACTGTGACAACAGGCAGTCTCAAGCATCCATCCTTTAGAGCCAACAGATGCTTCATAATATTGCGTATACGGATAGCTGAATCGGGATCTTGAGGTGCGCCAATGGCGTTCACATTGCCGCTTGGCCGATAAGACGTGCACATACCGAAGGCAGGGTCTTGGTGAACCGGGAGCGTGCAGGCCAGGCGAAGACCCTCAGAATCGCCCAATGCAGTCTTTGTGAGCTCAGGAGTGCTGAGATTGCTATCATCAGCAGGACCCATGACTCCTTTGCCGACAGTATCGAAGGCCAAGTTTAAAATGATGCCGAGCGACTTCTGAGCCTGTTGGATATCCTCAACCACGCTGCGGCTCCTGTAGTCGAAACAGTGGGTGGCTCCCAACTCTCGAAGGATATCGTGGTTCTTAGCTGAGGCTGTTGTGAAGATGTATTGGAGCCCAGCAGCCTTGGCCAATTGAATGGCCATCATTCCAACACTGCTTGCGCCGCCCCAGATAAGAATTCCCTTGCCGACAGGGTCAATGCCAGCTACATCAGCGGCTGGAAGCCCCAGGCCAATGACATTGAACAAGGCATCTGCCGCTGTGTGCGCGGGCATGCAAATCACACTGGCGTCTTTTGATGACACACCGGCTGGGATCTTGTAGAGTAGCTCAGACCTTGCGACAACCAAATCCTGGTGAGTTCCATGTGAGGATGAAATTGGGATGACAACGGGCGAGATGCCAAAGACTGCATCTCCGACTTGGAATTGTGAGTCGGGGCCTGTTTGCTCGACAGTACCGGACATCTCGAATCCGGTGATGAAGGAACTGAGTCCAATGTAGAAGAAGTTGTAATCGCAGAGGTTGATGGCTGAATAGTCGACACGGACGAGGCATTGGGAGCCTTCGACCGTGTAACTTTCTGTCACTGGCTGGACGAGGAGCTTGCCCTGAGCGGACAGAAAAATGGACTTGGATGTTTGGGTAGACATGACGGTTGTTGGTTAGATAGTAAGTTTTGTTGAACTGGATTGATTGAGAACGATGGGGAAAAGACGAGATAGATCTTTGAGTAGTCTATTTATATTCTCTTGACTGTGTTACTTTACTATCTTGACAGCCTCAGCCAAGAGAAACAAGTTTTGCAAGCCTTCTTCGCCGACTCCGAGCGGACTGTCTCTACCACCGGCGGCATGATTCATTTGCCGCTGCTTCTTCACTTTTCCAACCAGTTCAAAAAGAAAGAGACCCGTTAGAAACCAAATGCCCCGCTATACGAGACAACATGAACCTTAACGATTTAAGGTTTGTTCAAGCGGACCTAACAAGACGCGACAAGCGAGCGCGCGTTACGGACTACGGAGCAACTAAACATCAGGTAGGAATAGGTAGTAGTGCTTTTAACGGAGTTTAACTCCGAACACCTAAGCTTGACCGCTCAATTCCCTAGCGCGACAAATAGCAGCAGACAAGCACGGTTATATCAACGACTTTCATATCAATCGATAATTGTAGGACTAAAACAAGGAATGCTCTTCTGAACGCTCTTGGTCATTCGAACCTCTAGCCCTTTCGGCCTTATGACCTAACTGTTCGCAACCTGCCAGACCCTGCTATACTCGACTAATTCTTATGAAGCGTCATATGTAGAATTCATTTGTTCAAAGAGAAAAAAGGTTTTGGTATCACTGTAGGAAGTGAAGTGGAAAGCAGGATAATCTTGAAAAGACAAAAGCTCATGTTAGGAAGTAAGATTGCATATGATTAATAGTTTCATCTAAAATCTAGCAGGATCTCGTTTATACTATATAGAAGAGAGATGATAAGATCGGTCCTGCGACGCCACTGGACTGTTCTCGTTGCTCTCTGTCACCGTCTCAGCCTTTCCGAGGCTGTATTCGTCCCCAATTGAGATTCTCTAGACTGACGCAGTGTGTGATTGAATCGCAGTATCTAGCAGCAGCCTTGCCAGCTTCACCTATGGGCGTGAACTCAACCCTACCAAGGCTGAACGCCTTGCCTGGATACAACTTTGCCAACCTCCTTATCCCTCGCCCCTTCCAAAACATCTTTGACAATTGCAGCTCCAATGGAAGGATCAATTGCACCTTGTGTTTTATTCTGCTCTTGGCCGACACCGAGACCGGTTGCCAGGTATCCAGGGCTGATAGCCCATACTTTCACGCCATCCTGACCAAGAAGCCGGAACCACTCCCTGATCTTTAAGTTAGCTCTATTCTTTCATGCTGGTCACGTTATAAAATACCTCATCATCATGTTCAGTGCAGTCTTGCTGCTTCGATACGCGGGCAAATTGAAGTTATTCAAGGCTTTTGGCCAACCTTTGCTGGGCCGCGTATTGATGGGCAAGTCGGGGTTTTCAGACCCGGTAAGAGATGATGTGCCGCTAGCGATGAATATGAGGCGGGGATCGCTGGACTCGAGAAGCAATGGGGCCAAGGTCCAAGTCAAGATATGGGTCCCGGTGACGTTCACATCATATGTTTTATTCCACATTTCTCTAGCTGACATCTTGCCAGCGGTAAGCTGTTGATCGAATTGGGCACCTTCGATTTGCAATTAAGTCAACATCTTTAAGGGCATTCTTCAATCGGGGCTAATTTACCTGCGTTGTTGATAAGGGCATCAAGTTTTCCATACTGAGCCTTGATGTATTCAAATGCAGAAGCAATGGAGATATCATCTTCAATATCAAGTTGAATTGCATGAAGGTAGCTGGAAGGAAACTCTTCCTTGAGGTTCTTGACGGCCTGTTCAGCCTTTTGGAGGGATCTACCTCCGACCAAGACCTCATACCCTAAATCGGAGCTGCAAATAGCCTTGACAATCTGGAAACCGAGACCGGTGTTGGCACCTGTCACAAGCACGAGCTTACGTCCGTCCATTTTGCTAGGCTCTCTAGGCTCTTGTGTTGCAAGATAGGATTCAGATCAGTAATGGGAATAGAACAAAGAACAAGAACGTAAACAGATTGACAGTGTAGGAATATGAACCTTTTAAGCTTCTTGTGGTCTTATACCGGATATTTAGAAAATAAGCAATGGGTCTAGAATCAGCAGTATTGCCCTCTCTGTCTTTCGTCGGGAACATTCATTAGTACGGAATATTGGCTGGGATTTCCTTTCCCCATAATTTCTCGGCCATTAACTCCGATCGTGATGCCCTGCCGTAACTGGTGTCTCGGCCGACAATCTCCGGTGCCGTTAGCTCCGGTCGGCGAAACTCAATCCTAATTTGATCATAGCGCGCTTTGGACTGGAGCTTCTACCATTTGCTTCTTACCAAACTAAATTGCAGCTCCTGTCTCTGGTACGCTGCCGTTTAAATAGCACGCCTTTCATGCTCTACGGCATTCATTATCTGAGCCCTGTGAAAGATAGCATTAATTGGACTCTTGGGTTGCAATTCTGGGATGGCAGAGGCCACCAACAGTCTATAGAGCACGCCGAACTGCAATGGCATATTGGCCTACTTGCTTGTAAATAGCCCTCAGTTACAGCTGTAGCGATAATCGACAGTAACGCCAGGGCCTGATCCCAAATTCCAGGTCTGACCTGATTTATTCCCAGTCTCTGATATTCTTCAGTAACGACCATCAGGGAGGCATGACGTCCCCATGCCTAAACGCTGGAATCTATCTTACCGCCTTGGCACATCATACTTGAAAGGTTGCCCTGCCTCTTGTAGCCTCTAAGATAAAGCACCCGGTACATTTTCGCTTCAAGATAATGGACTACTGCAAGGTCGTGCTACGAAGACACGCCATAGCTTGAACCCGGTCCCTCGAGGTGATGGTGCATTGGGAGCCGGACCCAGCAAAGGCGGCTCTGTAGATGACATGCGCTGGTTCCAGGTTGCCGGCAACCCTGAATAGAGGATTTTACGTGACCTCAGCGACACCCTTTCATCCTTTGCACCTATGTCTTCCAAAGCGTCCTTTCCCGACATTGTAAATGGACAGCGACTCTGAAAGTATGCAGATCTTCATCCACGCCATTTAGCTGCCGCCTGGATCCTTACACCACACTATACGCGCTGAAACAGTCTGGGGAATTTTAGGCAACCCTCAAGTCTTACGCATATTGGGCAGGGGCTACATATGTTGTCTCCTTTATTAGAGAGGCTCTGAAGTACCGGTATAATGCTTTCTGTTATTACCGATACTGAAAAACTCGGGAAGCCGGCCCCAGAACCCTTTCCCGCATCTAGGCGTCTGCCGCTGAATTCTGTTACTACATCGATTCCTCTTACCGTGGAGCTGTAGGGTAATTACCAAGACAGGAAGTCTTATTTGTCAAGTACAGAGGCGCAGACAAAATTTAACTGCATTTTCTTGGCGATGCAGATATTACTTTCACTTGCAAAATATCAAAAAGCTCTTAATAAGAGATTATGATTTCCCCCAGCTTTTTCGACATCTGCCGCTTGGAAGCGTCATTAGACTCTTGTTTCTTCTCGAAACGAGCTAAATTAGACAGTTCAGGTGTGGCAGATGCAAGGGCGGAGTTCTAATTTCGCAGATCTAGCAACCACTCCCATGAAAGGCAGTGAAACAATATGTGGAGCTATAACATTCCATCTCATCGTTTGGGGACCAACAGTCTACTCAGTAGTTCTCATCAGAGATCATTAAACGTGTCCTCTGATTAGGGATTTACCCCAGGAATGTATGCCAAATTATCGTCAACAAACACCATACGTAATGTCTTCATAGCCCTTTTTAACAACAGTACGTCTCCATTCACTGTGGAAATACTATGAAATGAGGTTTTATATCTAATGTTTGTCTTAAGCTGAAACTTGAAGGAGTCTGCGAGTGATGGTGTGAACAATCTCTAGTATCCCTGTCGTGAAACTGGCCCGAATAGAGCCGGCAAATCTTCCTGCAGCCTACACTTTTCACTGTTCCTCAATTTCGCAAGGGGAACGGACCGGAAATACTAGATATTTGGCGGCTGAGCACCAAAGCATTCAACACGCCCTCCAAGTTCAATCACCTCCCGTTGTTAACGGAATGCCGCTATGCTTCTTTCTAGCAATCGTAACGATCATTCTCCGGAGTCTCTGCAGCAAAGCCAAGTTGACAGTAAGTACAAGCCTTCCAGTGCATCATCAATTTCTAAAGGACAACCCAGCATCACTAGAATTTCTAGATGGCGATGCAATGAGTTCAGAACAGTTATTAGAGTGCTACCAAACAGGGAAAGAGTGTGCACATCCGGCTGTAAGCTTCGATGTTACCACTTCGCATCATCCAGACCGAATGGACCGTCCCGAGGGTGCTTCAGAAGCGTCCTTTGCATCCTCGCCTAGTAACCCACGAAGCCCTCCCACGGCAGGGTATGCTCTTACGAGAGAATCGGACGACAGATTACCGCGACCTACCTCTGTCCATACCTCAACGCAGCTTCAGAAGCTTCCACTTGTCTTCGCCGTAGAAGTCTCTAGCACAAGTGAGAGAATCTTCCAGCAAGAAAAGAACACGATCTCATATATAGCCTCGAAGCTTGAGCCCAAAGAGCTGGTAGACCAGTCTTACATCTTACCTTGGGATCGTCAAGCTCACGATCCAGTACCTACAAGTCTGATTGGGAATCTCCAACATAATGTTGGATCAAACCCATCGAGCATTTTCGATAATCGTCTTGGTCGAAAGCGCCTTGAACAGTCAAAGATCTGGTTCCTCATGACGGACGGTGTGATTGAAGAGGAGCGTGCCAATGACTTCACGAACAAAGTTGCAGAAGCGGGATTACATGGCACTCCATCCGTCATAATTGTCTTTGGAAACAGATCTCGTCCTCCTTCTCGAAGCAAACTATCAACTGGCATGTCTATCTGTGCACCGTCGCCACACTGTGTGGTTCTTTTCCACGACGTATGGAGCAATGAGCCATTCATCGTTCAAGCCAAAGGATGTTTCGCTAGTTTGCTTCCCAAGGGGTCTTACTTCAAGTGGTTCAGTGGAACAAAATGGACGGACTTCCCTCAGACTTCCTACGATAGGCTGCTGAGGATCCGAGTTCCCCAGTCAATCCGACTCTCCAAAGACGAAGTGGCTCTGCCCTACGGCAGGGTGTTCGATATGAAAAACATATACAACGACTCCATGTCCGACCAAGATAAATTACAACTGGTATCAAACAACTCTGCCCTCGATGCGATAATGGTAGTTGCCAGAACACGAGGAGAAGGGTTTTTGGTGAAGTTGTGGATTGAGAGCCTTCGCAGAACAACGAGAAGAGAGAGCTTGACCATAGACAGAGACGATGTCGACTCCCGAGGGCTAACAGCCATGGAATTCCTGTTGATGGCAGCTGAGCAAGAGCTGAAAGCACCAAATACTCGCCACAAAGACATTTGGTCTTGCTTGACATCTGTCGCACCCCCTCGTTGCTCTAGATCGATGCAAGTACATGGAACAAGCCATTTGGACTTTCATCGCGCGTCAGTCAGGCTTCAGAACAAGAGAAATTGGGCCAACTTCGAAGCTAAGGTGGAGATAGAACGGGCGGCACTTGGGCGTGTTACCAAAGGGTTACAAGAGGTCCAGTGCGCGATAGGGATACTAGGTGACCCTTTGCCAGATGATTCAAGTCTCGCCGCAGCCGAAACCTTTTGGTACCCCGCTAGTGGAGTAAAGACTGCGAGAGACAATGAGAAGCCTCCGGCATCAGTTCTACCAAAGAAGTTGGATAAACAAGATGTCGACAAGTCACTCTTTCTCTCTGGCTTCAAGGGCACCCGGAAGCTTGAAAAGGCTGCACAGTCAAGGGCATACGCTACCTGTCCAATATGTCGAGAGCCGAATTCGATCCAAGCATTGCTGCTGCAAGCGAGCCCTAAGGAAAACAAAACTCCACACCTTCCATCGCCCAACCAAATGCTCAAGCTGACGTGTCCTTTGGCGCTGGGGAATTGCCCAGAGGTCGACATCATTCTTCCACTGACATGCTGCGATGGCTGCGCGTTCCTTCTCTTGAGAACGAACAAGCAAGCCAACGCCACTCAAACGAGCCATCAGGTAGCCGTGGCACTGCCACTTGTATCGCTCCAAGACAAGCAGAATCGAAGCCTGTGGAGGCAGACGCTCGCAGAGGTCTTCAGACACCGTTTCCACGATAGTGATGTCTTGTCTATCTTCCTCGCTACCATCTGCACCGAAATTGAAAACGTCCCCAGTCTGACACGCTCAAAGAGCCTCAAGTGGTGCAGAGACGAACTCTCCCGACTCCCAGGGATCCACGTACCCCAAAGCTCCAGCCCGAAGCTCGTCACTAGTCTTCCATCAGCAGTCGACAATATGGTTCCGCCGCAACAGGTCGCCTTCTTTGCATGCCTAGGAAACAAAATCTATCTCAAGGCAGTTCTATCGCAGCCGCTTGAGGGTTTCATCGTATTAGTTCAGCTAGCGACATCGATGAATGTTGTTGAACCAGAGGCTATCCGGAACTTGGTTTGGAAGCGGCTTCTATGTCATTTCATAGAACAAGACTTGCGTCTGCGAACTAATTTTGGGATGAAATACGCCTACGCGATGTTGCAAGAAATCATACAAGAATCTCCGTTTTCTAGCCACGGCCATCATGGCAAATTCTTCATAGCTCTCCCAAAGCAACGAACATCTTTATCACTGACTTCGCTGGTCAATACCTACTTTATCCCACCGGGATCGAGCGCTATATCGCATTTCTTTCGCATACCCTGCTTCGGGGAATTTTATAGTACGACAGAGTATAATGCAGCGCTAGCAATGTTTTTACATATACTGGCCAGCATTGAGTATCATGGCGAGGAGGCGACGGATATTTTGGAAGAGATGAAAGGAGTGGCAGACAAACTTGGCCATGTCGGAGAGGACATGAGGAGTGTTTTTGAGGATCCAACATCGGTTGACGAGTCTGGAGCTGCGTATGTCATTGCTCATTTAGACTCATGGCTGAAGTGCATTGTGTCAAGAAATTGAGCCATTTTTAGCCTCCAAGTCCAAATTACTTTTTCATAATCGTAATTATAATTCATTTTACTTAAAGAGATGCAATAGGAGTAGACTTTCATTGTCCTTACTACTCCTCGCAGCCAATTGAAAGACATCTTATGTGATCTACGCGCCCGAATTTCGCTATTCTAATATAATAGTCAGAAGCCTTCGTACCAGTCTGTCGAATGGCTCTCCCTTCAATCTTCATGAGTTCCCCCTGACAATCCCTATAACTGAGAGACCGCCAGAACTTAATTGTTATAGCCTAATCGCATTACCTTTTGACAGGGCAGACTGTGACAGGACCAGGATTAAAGACGCGAATCCGAGGACGATTGTAAAGGTCACCGCCATCTAAAACGCGATAGTGTTAGTGAAATACAGTGATATATAGAACATAACTTGCCTTGGAGTTACCATCCCACCAGCCATCTTCTCTAGACTTCGAAGGCCCAAACTCAGTGCCAGCCCATATCAGAATTGTCAACCCGATTATCATGCAAAATATGGCCAAGACTAAAAACGCAAGGCTAAATTCCCATGCGTATACCTGAAGCCAGCTAGGTCGAGACTTGCTATCGGATTGTCGTTTGCGACCAAGGCTGTTTCGGATCAAGCTCAGGCCGTCGGGATGAGCAGACAGGCGGTGCAGTCTCATGCTCTGAACGCCTGCAATGACTACTGAGAAGAGGGCAAACACGAGTCCGCTGAACCACATCGTTCGTACTGACCAGGGCTTGTTACGGCCATTGGGGAGTACATCTGGCCAGGAGCCTGTTGTGCTCAGACAACTTGCGAGAAGAGCGCCCTGTTTAGAATCTCAGTGAGTGTGTACAAGAGGAAGGGATTTAGAAGTCACGTACAAGTGTTCCGACAAAGTTGAGTTCCTGTAGCTTATGGTCACGCCAGTTCTTTGTCATTTCCTCTTGCTGAATCTGGTCATCTTCATTCAACATCTGAATTATAGTGTCGGCTGAAGTCGAGGTCTCTCCTAAGAAGCTAAAGTGAGGCATGATGACTAATGTTGTTCTAGCTGGTGTCAGCTTCATTATACCAGAGTTTCTTTATTAGCTGCCAATAAACTTACCTTAGATTTTAATATATATATATAGCCTGATGAGAAATTTTGAACAGTTACTGCTTGTAAAATGATTGAAAAGAACAGAAGGGAGAAAAACGCGGGGAAGTGAGCTCACTTGCTTCAGCATCAAAGGGCGGGGAAAAGATCCCGCTTTCCTACCAGGCTAGACAGGGTAGGTAGATATGTCGTCATAAGTCTGTAATGCTATTTCAATCAATTACAGGCCATATAGGCAATGATAAAATATTTCATTCCAAGGCAATACAGATTAAGCTTACTATATTTATAATGCAGAGAAAGAAGAAGCCTAGTAGCCTTGTATTTCTTGGTTTACCGCCGTCAAAGTGAATTTGGTACTCTCCGCACAATCAACAGAGCTTATTTCAAGTATATGTGTCAGTCTCCCGCCTCACAAGCAGCGGTGACCTTTGAGCCTGTCCTCGCATAACTTACTGAGGTCTGTCACAGTGCTTGGTGCTATCAGCAGGACGCTCGTTTGCGAACCCTGTGGGAGACAGAAGCATATCTTGAGATTCTGCTGCAGACTGTTTCTAGGGTATTACAGGGAGATGTAGGCAACAGCCGAGCGTGAATTGTAGTAGTTGATTTGCAGATGTTTCTCTGCCAAATAAGGATATATTAGCCTAGTTATATGTTAAATCATCATGGGGTGAATCGAAATTCTGTTTGGGGAAGTTTCGACGTCTCGTGGCTACTCAGTACTAGCGAGTCCCTAGTATAGTAAGCGACGGACTCTGTTTAAAATGGATTATATGTACCGTGATTATAGGCTGAGACGAAGAGAATCGATTAAATCTTATGAAGTATTACCTACTACAAGAGGTCTAAGTAATATGTTCCATAAATAAAAGAGACAGCAAGCAACATAGTCGGCAAGGTATATGCTAATACAGCAAGCTAATATGATAAAATTGATGTTAAATATATAAATTCAAAATAAATATTAATATTAATAGTATTTAAAATGCATTAATACTAATAAAGTACAGTAAGATAGAGAGTATTATATAGAGGGTTTTAGACTAGTAAAATAAGTATAGTAGTGGCCTGAGGCATTTACTTGGATCTTTCCCACTTGAATAATTTTATTACTTACTAAATGACGATTTAAATGCCTAGTTTAAAGGCTCTGCGCTACGGCGAAAAAACATTCTACCTATTACAGACTCGTGATCGGACAAGGATATATTGCGAAATAAGCCTCGCCCCTTCAAGAACTCCGTTATTTGACAAGGCACAATGTCGGGCGTTTTTTTGTTATTGATGAACAATGTCGCAGTGACGTGTGCTAATAAGCTGACTCAGTTTTGTGGTGGCGGTGTCTCCGTGAGGGTGTGTAGTATGAATTTATTGGCAGCCTGATTTTGGAGAACTGGTAATTATAATATAACAGTCTGCAATCCTATCTACGTCCAAACTTTACTTCCCCCCCTTGACTATTACTGCAACACCATATATAATTGATCTCACGCCCACAATAACATGTCTGCTGAGCTAGCCCTTGCCATCATCCCTTTAGGTATTAAAGTTTGCTCTGGCTTGTCATCCTATTTTGGAAGCCTGAATGACTATAGACAAGATGTTAGCCGCCTCGCTCGCCAAACTCGGGCTATGGAGAACATCTTTAGGGACCTCGAGGTATTACTAGAGCGAAGTCAACTTGACCCCCAGATCCTTGCTTCGGCCGTCGGGGCTAGAAGCCTTTTGGAAGCTTGTAAATCTGGATTACAAGAGTTGCAGGAACTGGAACAAAAGCTTAGCATCCCTATTAAACCAAGTGCCAAAGCTCTAGGCAAGACAAAAGCAAGATTTGCGAAATTCTCCTACCCCCTTCGAAAATCACACATTTTGAAACTCCAGACCGCTCTAGATACCATTTGCATACCGCTTCAGCTCGCTATTGAGAAACTCCACATGTGAGTAGTCGTAGGGCTATACTCTAACCGTTGTGGCTAATTGTCCAAAGAGATATCGGACTCTCGACAAGAAACAGTTCACTAGAAGTGCTAACAGCACTTCAACAGACGTCAGGTCTTGTGTCAAGTCTCACAGCAACTACACATAGTCTGGCTTCACCAGTAGGGGAGGTCAGCGCAGCACTTCCTATCCTTCAGAGTTCGGTAGACGCGATAAATCCGTATATCACTAGTGCAATCCAATCATATATGGAGCAGACTCAGCTAGCTATACGACAGGCTGACGCAGCAGCACGTGAACGGGCTGAAGCTACGAACAAGCTGATCATGGACCTGCAAACTAGGGAACCAGGCGCAGAATCTACAGTTCTTTGTCCAAGAGCAAAGTCAAATCCGCCTACTAGCCTTTCTCATTCTGGTGTATTCTGTTCTTGTCGCGTACAACGATTACGGACATATCGAGGGGGCTCCTATGGGCCTTTATATGTCTTTAATGAATGTAATACTGTCGTCAAGCACGAAAACAGCTGCCCGCTTTGCGGACCTATATCAGAATTTGAGAAATCTCAAGGTTTGCGTGTTACTTTTTCTAATGCGCTCATTCAAGGAGCCTTACAGCTGTGCTTCTACACAAAGAAGGGTACAGGCGGGTTCAGTATCAGCCCTGGACTCGCCTTTTCACCTATCGTTGATAGACGGCAGGGATTAGCATGGCGACTCTTATCTTACGGAGGCTATTGCGTGGTTCGGGCTTTTAGCCATCCCAGGCCTGCTGCGACGACAGAAGCTATGTTAAGGGTGATCCTTTCCAAGTTGAGACTGTTCTTCAGCTACAGAAAGGCGAGCCCAATTGAGGTTGACATAGAGAATAACTCTCTTCTCCACGAACTCGCAAAACTAGTAAGTCAAATTGATTTTACTGCAATACAGATCTAGAGACTGACTGATGTCTCAAGGTAAACTTGTGGTTTGCAGGCATGCAAACGAGAAACAGATTTAGCGCACAAACCGATATGTTGGCCCGGTGTCTCCCGGTTATGGAAGAGCTCGTGAATTTCATTATCTCAGCAGGATCCCCGTTGTCAACTCGTAATCGTCAAGGACAGTAAGTACCACCTACATAGCCAACAGTCCATTCTAATGGCTCTGACAATAAAATAAGTCTTGCACTGCATTTAGCTGCATACGGGATTATTCTCCCAACTTCGCTCCAGACGGCATTTCACGCAGATGGGGCAAATTTGGAACTCAACGCGAATATCGACCAGCCATACAATGGGACTATGACTTGGAGGAGAAGCCTACTCCCAAAAATTCTCAAGAACTCTGCTTTACAACAAGGAAACGCGGAATGTATGAGATCCATAACTTAGATTTGGACTTCAATGTATTGCAACATGAAACTAATATTGCGTCTCATAGTGTTCCATGGACCCTTGATAACGGCGATCCTTAGAGACGATTTAGGGGAAGTGAAGCGACTGATTAAAGAAAGTCCTGCTATTGTTCAAGAAAGAAATGTCTATGGACAGACAGCGTTTCATGTGGCCGCTGATAAGTTGAAGATATTCAGCTTTTTGATACAGCAAGCTAAGCCAACGACATGGACCCAAAAGGATGAACTGGGCCATACCTTGCTTGGATTCTCTATGGCCCTTAGCAGTGTAAAGTGCAACTACGAAACATCACCTCAAGCCACAAATTGCTCTTGCACCTCGACTGTAAGGGCTCTACTGGAATCAGGCTGCCCTATAGTACCCCATCACGATTTCTGGACAAGGGAGGGCAGCGTTTTGCGTAATACTTCTACCCATTGCAGGGTACTTGTAGCAGAGCAGCTACGTCTCCGCCGCCGGGAATTAAGAAGGCTGGCTTGTGACACGTTGTCAATGTCGGCTTTTAGTCAGTTTCAATCGTCTCAGCCTACTGAGCTTGACCTTCACGCTATAGAAGTGGATCGGACACTTCGTCGAAGAAGAGTCATTACGTTTGGCAGACTTTCAACGTTCTTCCCTGGAGATATTGACGACACACTCAAATTCAATTACGTCTTCCGTCCCATATACCACGATTTAGTAGAAGGCTTCGATGCTAAGGTCTATCTTGATTTAGGTTTTCGGGAGTTTGACCTTGACACAACTCAGTTTCCTACTTCCCGAGTACTGCCCTTAGGTATCCAGATATCTCGAAGAGCAGATTTCCTGATCAACCCAGACTACTTATTGTGGTTGCGAGATCATGCCGTTCCAATGACGAAGAGAGAAAACAGGATCCACGAGTCTAAGGATTCCACTTTCATCTTCGCGGATAGGATGGGGTGTTGGTCAATGTTTGATGATTCGTTATTTGCGGAAGAAACCAAGGAGTTGGAACATTGGTTTTCAAGCTCACCCTCGGTTATGGAGTGTCACTGTCCATGCTCACCTGGCTTTTGCACCCCATTCATTCAGCGAATGAAGTGGCTGCCATATAAATATGAAGAACGCACGCCGCCAGAGCATCGTACTCTTTCAGGATATGCGAATGACATCTTGTCATTTATGAGCAAATATGGTCAATCCCTCACAACTGATCAAAATGTCGACGCAGTTCGCCAAGTGACATTTTCGGTCCTCGAGATGAAACATATATGCTCCCATAGGCCCAGCGATGATTATGTTGAAGAGCTTTCCCCAGACGAGATCCAATTCGAGCTGGACACTCAAGATAGTTACAGGGCAAATGCTCTAAACGAAGTAACGTCAGAAGCAACCTCCTTTTTCTCTGCTGATCATCATCAAGTATCGCCAAAGGAGCACATCGGCGCCAAGACTGAGGTAAAAGCTATTATGGAAGGTAATGGTGCTTACCATAACGATCCTGACCTACAGCAAGAAATTGAGTATGATGTTATTGTTGAATACTGGCATAAGCGATGGATTCCCATAATGGAGAGAATTTTAGACTACGCAAGGAGACTCTTCTACTTCGATCACGATGAAGAAGGTTTGAGAGACATTGGCGTAGTCCTGGAAAACGTCACTGGCACCATTTTGACATCAGATGACGACGGAGAAGATGTTGGAGAGTACGAACTTAAATGGGAGGGATCGGGTAATGAAAGCCGAGAAGAGAGGGAGTCAAGAATTGTCTCGAACTGGATGATTCGGCAGCTAAACAGTATCGTAGATTAGGGTTGAAATATGGCCATATCAAAGCTCGTATAAGATTCACTCATGCAGAACTGGGTTTAAATCAGGCATAGTAAGCAGAATATACTGAGTATCAAAAAGCTATATAGTAAAGAAATTAACTGGCACCCCGATCCGATAACTTATAATAAACCATAACACTATAGCAAAGCATAGGGATCCTGCGAGAATGCTGAAACCCTATCGCAGAGACTTTCAAACATCTCTTCCGTCAACTCATTGCTTATAGCTCCGTTCCCGTTGTAAACCAAACAGATCTCAGTGCTATTGGTATCCAGGGGCGTCGTCACGACGCTGACATCAGCGCAGTCTTCCTGCGAACCCATCACACCAACCTGATACATGTTTCCCCCCATCGCGAAACTCTCTGTACGCGGCATGCTCTGGTGCTGAACAACAGTAGAGAAACCGTTGGTTCCATCATCATCCCAGTCAGTGCACTTGTCGATGATCTCTTTAAATCCCAGTGTCTCATATGGCATATTGTCCACCTGCTGGTCTTGAATGTATTGAAGAAGATCCAGAATGGTCCAAGAGGCTTGGCGGCGAACGCGTACGGGAACTACGTTCAGACAAGGCCCGACAATGCTTTGGATCCCAGGTATGTTGCTGTCATTCCGCCCGCTAATAATGTTGCCGAAAACAACGTCAGTCTTCCCTGTGACGTTTGCCAATACCGTTGACCAGGCAGCCTTGATGACAGTTGAGGTTGTGATGCTGAATGACGCGAGCGAGGATGTAGACACGACCCTTCTCAAGACTTGGGTAGAAAAGGTCTGTAAGGATGACCGCTGCCGTTGGACGACATTGGTAGGAGTTGAATCCTTCAGAAGCGATTTCCAGTACGAGTAGGACCCTTGTTTGTTTGTCCCCAACACCTTCTGGATGTAGGTTGCGTATGAGGGTGTCGGGCTGATAGGCTCTCCATCAAATGAGGCTTTCAGACTTTGTAGGATAGTCGGGAAGCACACGCCGTCATACAGCGCGTGAGATATCTGGATGAATATTCGGTGCCGTTCTGATGACTTGTGGCGTGCTACTATAAAGCGGAGTGACGAGTCTTCAGGACGTGGAACCTGGTTCTGATGGGTCAATTCAAGGTTTGAAGTAAATAGATCAATACTCTCCACATCTTCAACGATGACCGTGGGTTGAACATGGCGGAGGATGACCTGCAAGTAACGGCCTTGATGAGAGATAAAGACAGTGCGCAAGATATCGTAAGCGGCCACGATGTTGGTGATACCCTCTTGTAGTAGCGTCATGTCAAGTGAGCCTGAAGAGTCCAAGTGGAAACAGTTGAGTTGCCATCGTGACTCCAGAAGGCTTCCGTGAATGGCCTGGTCCTGGAAGTCGGTGGTTGGAAGGACGTCGACAATGCTGGCTCGGGAAACGCCGACAACGGGGCAGACGTGGCTTCGCACGAACTGCTCGGCATCATCTGCGTCAATCATGGAGAGGGGTTTGTAAGTTTCGTCACTGGTGATGTACTTCTCCTTCTTGAAGGTCGAGGTATCCAGGTGGTCGTGGCTGGAAGCCCTGTCACTATACTTGTAAGACTTGTCATTGAGGCAATCCAACAAGGAGCCGAACTCGGGATTCTTGAAGATATCAGCCACAGTGAGCGGCAAGTCCAAGTCTCTGGCGTTGCCCACCATGGACATAGCGATAATCGAGTCGCCGCCTGATTCGAAGAAATTGTCGGTGGGTGAGATTGCACAACCTTGGTACTCGAGACTGTCTCTCCATAGTGCGGATAGTTTGTTGTGTAGATGCTTCGTGTCGCGGGAGAATGAGTTGAACATGTTGGATGACATGGAGGATACGTCGCCAAGGTCAATCAAAGTGGAGGATGCACTGATTCCTGAGCTCTGTGCTTTGGGCAGATTGTTCGTGTCGTCCTGCTCCGACGTCGAGCCGTCAACCTCGGACGATTGCGCGTATGTACTGCGAGCCACTGGGGGGCTCTGCAATAGCCGAAGGTGAACTAGAGTATTCTCGCTGTAATCGACGAAGTCGTCAAGTAGCTTAGACATGTTCACGGCGAGCTCCTGGGCCTGTGAGCTAGAAAGTATGGTGGTCCAGTAGCGGAAGACGATGCCTTCGTCACCTCGTGTAGCATTTGCGTTGAGAGTGACGGCGTACTCGCTTGGGTCGTAGGCATCGATTGATTCGTAGGTAAGCGAGTCGGGCTCGGAGACACCCGTTACACCGGCGTTCTGGATGGACACAGCTGTGTTGAAGAAGCCCCTCTTCGATTGACCCAGGGTATGGCTCACACGAGCCAGAGAGAAGTGTTGGTGCGACAGACTAGCCATATAATCATCTCGAGCGGTGGAGAAGAGTGTCTTGAGAAGCGTCTCAGTCGTGAACTGGAAGCGGAACACAAGCATGTTGATGAGAGGACCGACAATGCCATCGACGCCATCGATGAGAGCATCACGTCCAGAAGCTAGATAGCCAAAGCAGACGTCCTGGCGGTCTGTATAAGCTCCAAGGAGCAGGGCCCATGCCACCATGATGATGTTTGAGAATGTCACCCCAAGTTTGGATCCAAGGCTTTGTAGCTCTGAGAAACGGTCGAACTGGACCATGACAGACTGTAGTTGGCGGTTAGCCATCAAGTCTGGGTTGAGTGTCGGAAAGCCTGTGTGTTGTGACTCCCAGAGATAGCCTGTCCAGAAGTTGAGGCTTGAGGTGGTAGATTGATTTGAAATGTATTTGATGTACTCCTTGTACGAAGGAGGTGGAGTTGGAGACAAGCTGTCGGTGTAAGCGTTGGAGATGTCTCGGAGGAGGATTGATGTGGAGGCACCGTCGGTCACTGCGTGGTTCAGCTCAAGTTTCATGAAAACCTTGCCTTGTGGTGTTTCGCAGATGGTGATCTGATAGGGAAGCATCGGTCCACGGTGTGTCTTGTTGGTCTCACCGAGTGATCTAGAGTTCAGCTCGGCCATGACATCGATCTCCCGACACTTGATAGTGCTAACGCGAGACTCAAAAGGCCGCAAAACGACCTGATCGAAGGATCCACCTTGACGTAAGGTATCGATGAAGACTGTTCTCAATGCTGGATGTCGCTCAATGACTCTGTGACAAGCCTGGACGAGTTTTTCAGTGTCGATTGCAGAGCCGTCGGGATGATTAACTTGTAGAACAACGTGGAACAGATACTGCGATGAGTCTAGAAGCTGGCTGAGCAAAATGCCAGTCTGCATGGGCGAACATGGATACATGTCCTCTAGCATGTCGAGCGAGACATGAGCCCTGGGAAGATGCGTGGTCATAATCTCGTGGAGATCTGTGTAGCTAATGGGCAAGAGAGGGAAGTCGCTGAGTGTTGGAGCAGAAGAGGTCTCGGCAAGCCTTCTCGTAGTGTTGGTGAGACTGTCCTGACAATTGGATACCCACTTCTCGATACCGTCTTGGTGAAGCATATGTCGGTTATACATCAATGTAAACCTGATGCCTTCGTCAAGGACGGATATAGAAATCTCGAAGAGAGCGAGGCGAGAGGTCTCAGGCGCGACATCGGAGATAGTCAGAGTGTCTTGCTCCGTTAATGGAAAGTTAACTGCAGTAAAGAGAGAATCGCTGTGGTTTGTTTGTTGAGTGTGACCAAGGTAGTTCAGCAAAATCTCCATGGGTCCATCATGAAGCGTTCCTGGGCCAGTGAGATGGCGGTGGGCAAAGTACGGGCGGCCATTATTGGGAATACTCCGGCGGACATCCTTGACCTTACGAACATGGTCGACTTCATCGCCGTGGTCGAGACTCTGTCGTGATACTTGAAGAGGGCAGAGTGATGTAAACCATCCGACAGTTTGCGAAAGGTCAATGGCATTATCCCAGGGTTCACGGCCATGACCCTCATTGAACAGTGTTGGCAACTCTCGGCTATCGAAGGTCTGCGCAAAGGATTTGAGAATGGCTGTGATGAATAAATCGAGTGGTTCGGTGTTGAGGGCTCTGTGCGAGCCACCGAGCATAGAGGAGACGACATCAGCTTCTGTGATGACGAACGACTTTTGTTTCATGTCTCCGTAGACGTTGGGAGTGTTTGACATGCCCCAGAAATCCATGTCGGCAGGTCGTACAGCAAATGGAAGAAGTGCTTCACCATTGCTGAGGGAGTTGATGTGATCGTTCTGTAAAGTATTCCATCTGCGGAACGAGAGGGGCTTGGTGGATGGTGAGAAGGTAGAGGTCAGTAGTGCCTCGAGGTCGTGGATGATGTTAATCCAGGAAATGATGTCAATGACGAGATGATGAGCTACAAGTGAGAGTACCTGAGCGCCATGAGATAGTGTGAATAGATCGACCGCAAAGACAGGACCAGAAACATGAATGCTGCTTTGGCTGGCGGCTACGAATGGTATCATGTCCGGCTCTGCAGCGATCTCATGGTGTTGGAAGCCATAAGAACCTTGGGCAGGTGAGAAAATATGCTGTGTCCACTCCCCAGCAGCAGATTTGTTGAATCGTGCGCGAAGCATCGGATGTCTTTCCACAAGAGCATCAAGAGCCTCCTGGAGGCTAGGCACCTCGACAGGCCGGGTGATGGACAAGAGTTGGCTCTGGTTGAAGCGATCTCCACGCTCCGTGTTGGCGCTGTTGTTGAAGAAGAGGCGTTGGATTGGAGACAAAGAGAATGCTTGATCGTCATCTTCCTCGTAGTTGTCAATGACTCGATCTTCTTGGGTGGTCACGGCAGCAGCCAACTCAGAGATTCCCTTAGCTCTCATGATGTCCTGCAAGGTCAATGAAAGAGACTGGTCATGGCAGCGTGTGAGCATCTGAATCGCCATGATGGAGTCACCGCCGAGGGAAATGAGGGAACGGTTCATAGGAGTTTCTGTCTCTGGAATGTTGAGTATTGACGCCCAGATACGTCTGAGCTGCTGGCCAACTGGTGTGATGACCGCATCCACCGTATCTTGACCATGATCCAAGTCGACAGTGACCTTGCAAAAGTCTGCGTCTGCATCAACAAGCCAACTGCTTGCACTCTTTCTATCGAGTTTCCCAGACAGTAAGAGTGGAATGGTCTGGACCGCGAGCCAAACCGACGGAATCATATAGGGCGGAAGGGTTGCGGACAGATCGTGTTGTATAGCGCAGATCTGTGTCCGGGCAGCATCCATGGCGGAATCGGGAATAGGGACAAAGCCAGACGTGGCAAGGGATGATTCGACGGGCAAAGGATCCTGGAGAGAAGCAATAGCCACCAAACGTCCCGTGAAGATACCAGATTGTGGTAGATTGACCAAGACCTGGCGAATACGCGGGTCAGACTCAAGGCGAGCCTCAATCTCACCGAGCTCCATGCGCTGGCCATGGAGCTTGACCTGATGGTCCTTGCGCCCTAGATACATGAGCGATCCATCAGGACAATATCTGACCAAGTCGCCTGTCTTGTACAGACGAAGAGACTCGGTGGTGAAGAAGTGCATCCACGCTGGGTCCTCGATGAACGATGCCGCCGTCCGTTCTCTGTCGTTCAAGTACCCGCGAGTCACGATGGGACCACTGATGAGAAGTTCTCCAACACATCCCACAGGGACAAGAGAGTTGTGGTCTCTCGGATCGACGACCCAAGTGTGGTTCCCGTCCATGGCGTGGCCGATATTAGCGTTGGTAGCAGAAACAGAACTGTTTGCAACAGCAAATATGGTACACTCTGCTGGCCCGTAGCCATTCATCAGCTCGACTTTGTCTCCCCAGGCGCTGATCGTTTCGGGTGTAAGAGTCTCGCCTCCGCAGACTAGGGTCTGTAATGTGGTGAATTTGGAGGGGTCCTGAAGATTTGCGAGCGAGGGCGTTAGGAATGCCCAAGTGACACCGAGGGAGTTCATGGAACCGGCAAGATCTGTCATCCTCATCTCTTCGCTGGGGATGCAGACACAGGCGCCGATGGTGAGTGGAGCGAACGTTTCTCCCATGGAAATGTCGAAGGCATAGGATGCAAAATGGAGCACACCCGAATCCGGACCCACGTTCATGCGTTTCATGAAAGCCTTGGAGCTTGTCAAAAACGAGCCATGTTCAATGACAACGCCTTTAGGCTTTCCGGTACTGCCGGAGGTAAAGATGACAAACGCGGCATCTCGAGGCGCGACGACTGGCAGATCCTGCGTGCAAGGTTCTGGGGCAGTGATCGAGCCAGAAGTGACCAAGACAACAGATTCGACAAGGCCGTGGAAGCGCTCTTGATACTGCGGTGCGCACAACGCAACGCGGGCCTTGCAGTCGCGTGTGATCTCGGCGTGACGAGCAGAAGGATGCGCAGGGTCCATGGGAACGATGGTGCCGCCGGCGAGTATCACAGCGAGCATCGAGATTGTCGTCCAGAGAGATTTGTCCATACAGCATGGAACCAGCTCATGAGCGCGTACACCATGTCGCATAAGTGTCCTGGCGAAATGCGAAGCGTGCTGGGCAAGTTCATTGTAGCTGAGTTGACCGTCCCAGGCGCGAACGGCGGTCTTGTTGGGATTGGTTGCTACTGACTGCCAGAACAGATCGGGAATACTCTCCTTTGAAGGCTGTAGGACAAGGCTGTTCCATCCTCTGATTGTCTCCACGTCCTCTTGGCTGTAAAGCCGAAGATCCGATACCTTGCGAGTAGGTTCTCGAAGCGATAGGTCCGCCAATTGACCTACCAGCGCTTCAAACTGATGGGCGATGTGCTGTGCCTCCCAACCAGAGATGACCTTGTTGTCGTGGTGAATTGTCAAGATGAGCTCATGCTTCTCAATGGAGCATTCCACAACAAGTGGATAGGTGAAGAAGCTTTTCTGGCCAACGTCGTTTTGGGTAGGGTTCAGCAGGTCATTCAGATCCGTTTCCTGGTCGGATGACTGTATTACCAGCAAGTTCTGGAAGTCACAGGCCACTGCTATGGTGTCGTCTAAACGACTAATGCGCTGAAGACCCGCATGTTGATGGGGGATCAACTCCGTGGCTCGTTCACGAAGGTCCTTCAAAAAGTCACCAATGGTACTGTTGCGACTGATGTGAACTCTTGAAGGGACCGTGGTCAATGTAGGTCCAAGGATGTCTTGTACATGATCGAGGGCAATGTCACGTCCAGACAAAGTTTCGCCGAACACGACATCGTCAGATCCAGTCTGAGACCCCAAGACAAGCGCCCATGCGGCCCGGGCGATTGTTGGAATGGTTACATCCATGCCGAGACCATCTCTACTGTAGCGCACCGTATGTGTCAAGGATTCATGATACGATTGCGCAGCAGGCGCCGAAGAGACTTTGGGGAAGTGAGATACGAGAGAGGCGTCTTGGAACCTAGCTCTCCAAAAGTCGTCAGAGACTTCAGCGTTGATGTCGGCCAGGTACTTGATGAAGTTGGCGTATTCACCCACAGGCTCATGGGCGGTGTCTCCGTGGTAGAACTGAGACACTAGTTTGAGGAGAGGCGGCATGCTCCACGCATCATATAGCGCGTGATGGATAACCCACACAAAGTGGCAAGGCCCCTTATCAGCCGCCTTGACAATACTGTAGCGGGCCAAAACTCCTCCATTGTGATCAGGTATCGATCCAGCCTGGGTAGTAGCAGACTCGAGGTCATCGTGATGCTCCCACTCAATGTCATGAGGAGCAAGAACGGCTTGATATGACTTGAGCGACGTGTTGACGATGCGTGTTCTCAGAATGTCGACTCGATCAACAGTATTCTGCCAAGCGAGCTTGAAACGGTCAATGGAGATGTCCAAAGGAAGCTCGAAAACATAAGTAGCGACATATGCACCTGGCTGTTGCAAAGTCGAGGCAACAAGCCCCTCTTGGAGGGAGCTGCAAGGGTAGATGTCCAGAATCTGACTCTCTTGCACGCCACACCGATCTGCAACCTCGTGCAGGAGCGACGAAAGATCTTTAGTGTCCGAAAGAAGCGAGAACGGGTCAACACTGGAGACAAGAGCTTCATCTGAGTGTTTGCAAGACATTGCCATGTCTGACAGGACAGGGTTGTTGAAGATGGCCATGACGGTGATGGCAAGACCCTCTGCCCTAGCCACCGGAACGAGCTTCATGGCATCGACTGAATCACCACCGAGCCTGAAGAAGCTGTCGTCTTTGCTGATCTGACCGGTAGGAATGTTCAAGACTGTAGCCCAGGCTTTCTGTAGTTTGCGCTGCATCGCCGTTGTAGGGTGGACTCCGCTTCGAGACGAGCTAGAGAGCTTGTAGGAGGCCATCAGTTGAGGTGGTATGGACTTGGCAATGGCTTTGAGCCTCTGGCGATCAAGCTTGCCAGCCAAAGTCAATGGCATCTTGGACAGCGGTATGTAGATGGTAGGCACCATGTACGATGGGAGAGCATCCCTGAGAGCTGACTTGAGGGACTGGGCAAGGTCACTCGAAGCACTCGACATGCTCACAAGAAGTGGATCAACGTCTTGGGTGAAGGTATCCTCAAGATCATCGTCGCTGGTAAAGAAGACGGCGAGTGCCTTGGTTGACGCTTTGCTCTGCGGGACAACTATATCAACAGTGGCTTGGATGTAGTCGGGTAAGTGCGCCTGGACATGATATTCAATCTCGCCAAGCTCAATACGTTGTCCATTGAGCTTGATCTGTGTGTCCTTGCGCGACACGTACTTGAGTGACCCCTCAGAGTTGTACATGACCAGATCACCAGTCTTGTACATCCGACCGATGGTATCTCCCTCAAGGTTCATGCCTGCACGCCACGACGGAGGCTCTATGAATGCCTCTTTCGTCTTTGTCTCGTTATTGAGATAACCTCTGGCAACAATAGGCCCTTCAATGAGGAGCTCACCAATGCCGCCAATCGGCATGAGGCGATTGTGGTTGCGCGGATCGACAACCCAGCAACGACTACCAACAGCGTGACCGATAGTACCTGGGTCGTTGTTGAGGATGTTTCCATCATGATCAACCTTTGTGCTCGTTGCAGCAATAACACTGGTCTCACTGGGGCCATAGGCGTTGATCAGAGCGGCGTGCCCAGTCCACTTCTTAATGTGGTCTCTTGACATTGCCTCGCCGCCGGTGACAAGGACCTTGAGGGCAGGGATACTGCCTGGCTTAAGGACTCCCGCGACTGATGGTGTGAGCAGCGTCCAGTTCACATTGAACTTGGTAATGACGCCCGACAAATCGTCCATGCGGTCTTGGTCGTTGGGGATGCAGATACAGCCGCCTACCAACAAGGTGGAGAGGATCTCCATGACGCTGGCATCGAATGTGTGCGACGCGAATTGCAGCACGCGTGAGGACGATGTCATCATGATAGCCTTGGCGTGAGCGGTGCCTCCCGTGGTAAAAGATGCATGTTCGATAATCGTGCCCTTGGGAAGACCTGTCGTACCCGAAGTGAAGATGATGTACGCAGCGTTGTCAGGCCTAACATCGATCCTGGGAGATTGCGGTAGAACCGGGGGAAGTAAAGACATAGTGTCCCTACCAAGGGGAATAGCGGGAAGATGCAGGCTGTCGAACTTGGCTTTCAAGGAGGTGGAGCAAATGATGAGCTTGGCGTCGACGTTACTAACCAGGAACTTGATACGGTCGGGTGGATGAGTAGGATCCAGAGGAACAAAGGCACCGCCGGCCTTGAGGACTGCCATCATGGCAACGACGGTCCATGCTGACTTTTGGAAACACAGCGGGACGTATGTTTCGGGCCCGATGCCGAGAAAGACGAGGTACTGAGCGAATCGTGAAGCTGCTGCATCGAGTTCAGAGTAGGTAAAGGCGGCATCCCACGCATCGATGGCCGGTGTATGTTCTGGCAGTCTTTCACAGTTATGCTCAAAGACGTGGTGCACACAGTCATTCAAGACCTCAGGCTCATTGTTGTTCCACGACATCAACTGCTGTCTACCGAGATCGCTGAGGATATCCAGTTCTCCGATCGGGAGTGCCGTGTCACATCTCGCCATTGAGGAAAGGACCTGGTCAAATGTAGAGGCAATGTTGGCGGCCTGCGCGTCTGAGACTTTGTCTTGCCAGTAACATAACTGGAGCTCGACACTAGAGTCCCAGACTTCGACGTTGACTGTCATGTCGTATTCGCTAGGGTCTTGCGCATCTCTGACGTCGAACGAGACTGCACCAGCTGCCATGTCTTTGGAGACTGATCTACGTTGGAAAGAATAGGCGGTGTTGAAGAGAGGCTCGTTGGAGTTACCCATGGCATGCTGAAAGCTGGCAAGGGAGGCATTCTTGTGATTCATGGCCGTGGCGAGGTCGTCCTGGATGGTTCGCAGAGCATTGTCGAGGTTGGTGGATGGGTCGAGACGGACTCGGCAGACGAGCATACTGATAAATACGCCAATTGCCTCGTCAATACCACTGACGGGTACGTCCCTGTCAGCGACAAGATAGCCGAAGCACACATCATCAAGGCCTGTGTATGCCTGAAGAACCAATGCCCAAGCCAATTGTAGCAGGTTGGATAGAGTGATGCCTCGTTCGGTGCAGAGCGTTTGAAGCTCAGAGGGATGCGAGATACCTTGGGCAAGGGTTCGAAGAGTCCTGGGTGATGTAGTCCCGTCCGTAAGCAGAGGCAGACAACAAGGCTCAGCGCCGTCCAAATAATCCTTCCAGTACTTGGCATCCTGAGAGCCTCCGCTCCGCTGTAAGAAGGAGACGTAGTCTCTGTAGACTCCAAGTTGGAAAGTATTCAGGCTGCCCTCGTACGCTAAACCAAGATCGCGGAAAAGAAGTGGCATAGAAGTTCCATCGGAGATGGCATGGCTCATCTCTAGAACACATGACACAGTGCCCTCTGCGGTGTCGAAGATTGTGAGACGGTGAGGTGGCTGATTCGTAGGAAGACCAAGAGGTTGCTGGTTACTGAGTCTGAGGTCTACCTCTGTGGCGGGACATTCGATGATGGAAAGGTTGACATCATGGTTCCTTAGAACGACTTGACTGATAGCGCCCTCTTGTAGTACACTGTCCATGAAGACAGTTCGTAGTGCAGAATGGCGACGAACCACACGCTTCCAAGCGTCTGATAGCCTTTGCACGTCGATCACATCGCTTGGTCGTGTGGATGTAACCGAAAAGGTGATCGAGTAAGAGTAGTATCCGGGGTCCTTGATCTGGGACAAGAGGATGCCCTGCTGAACCGAAGAGCATGGATAAACTGCTTCAACATTGTCAAGAGAAATGCCCGCCACAGCGAGGTTCTGCTGAACCTGCGACTCCTTCTTGAAGGCCAGAGGCAGCAGAGATAGATCCGTCAATGGCTCTCGCGTAACCTGTGATAGCCTTTGAGATGCTTGGTGTATGTAGTCCCTGCAGCTCTGGATCCATCTGCTCAAAGATGACTGCCGTTCCATGTGGCGGTTAAAAGAAAAGTCAAAGGTTAAGCCCTCGTTAGTGAAAGATGCTGAAATCTCGATGAGGGCTAGTCGTGGGATGTTGCCTCCAATGTCGGATTGCGAGCTCAAAGAGCTCAACATGTTTCCGTCGACAGACTTGAACACCGAGTCCTCCGTTCCCATGTCCTGTGTATGACCGAGGAAATTGAAGGCAATTTCCACTGGGAACTCGATCTGGGACTTCGAGTTAGGTAGCATGCTATGAGCAAAGTAGGGTCGACCATTGGCGGGAAGCTTCCTTCGGAAGTCCCGTATCCAGCACACGACATCGAGAATGTCGTGTTCGGCGGGAATGACCTCGGGGAGGAAAACAGGACAGAGAGTGGTGAACCATCCAACGGTGCGTGATAGATCCACAGTGTCATCGGCAGGCTCTCTCCCATGACCCTCGTTGAATATTGGGGGCACCGAAGGCCGGTCTGGAAAGCTTTGGCGGAAGGATGCTAACAGCCCTGCTAGCAACACATCAACAACGTCGTGACTGTTGCCTAAGAGCAGGGTTGATGTATCGGTCGGGATGTTCATGGTCTCAGTGACCGAGTCGCTGTGAAGATTCGGTACGCCTTCCATTCCCCAATATCGGTGGCTCTGTGGAGGAACTGGAATGTCGTGGAACACACGCTCCAGCGAAGCCTTCCGAGCTTCGTCGTGTTGTTTGGAGCTCCACATCTGGAAGGATAGTGATTTCGACGGGCTGTAGGCAGATGCTGATAAGAGACCTTCCAGATCCTGTAGGATGATGTTCCAAGACACGACGTCGACAATGAGGTGATGAGCCACGAATGTGACGATCTGGTCGCCAGTTCCCTCCACTTGAAACATGTTGGCAGCGAATATCGGTCCATCAAAAATGTCTAGGGTAGTCTGACTCTCCATGACCAAATCCAGGAGACGCTTCTCGTTGACGATACCGTGTGAACGGAGGGTATAGGAGCCAGCGACATCGCCAGTGATCCGCTGTGTCCAGTTGCCATCGACCTGCGAGAAACGAGCACGCATCATGCTATGCATCTCGACGATACGGTGCAATGCATTCGAGAGCTCCTGTGAGGTGATGCTGCGGGTGGTAGCCAAAGTCATGCTCTGGTTGAAGTGGTGAGAACCTCGACCAATACTCTGAAAGTAAACCTTCTGAATGGGTGACAGTTCAAAAGACTTGTCCAGCTGTTCCTCATCATACAGTACTTCCTTGACGTTGGTGACGGCAGAGGCAAGGTCGATAATGGACTTGGCTCGCATGATCTGGCCGACCGACACAGCCATGTTAGCCGAGCGGCAAATGGCCATGAGCTTCATGGCGGATATCGAATCGCCGCCGAGGTGGATAAACGACTGCTTGAACGGGACCATGTCGACCTTGAGACTGAGAGCCTTGGCCCACGCAGCCCTAAGCTTGATCTCCACTTCCGATGCATCTCTATCCAGAGCAGACGCATCTTCCTGCGCGTCAAGAACGAGATGGTAGTCTTCAAGAGTCATGTCCTCGACCCATCGCATGGTGCGCCTACGATCAAGCTTTCCAGAGGGGAGGAGGGGAAAATGGCTTGCGATAATCCACAAAGATGGGATCATGTAGGATGTCAAATGCCTTGCGAGACCATCTCGAATACCCACCAAGATGGATGAATCATACTTGGTCAGGATCTGCATCTCTTCGTCTCCAGTCATCTCTGCCTTGGTCGAAACATCAGAGTGGAAGGATAGAATGCCTACGAGGCGGGCTTTGAACGGGCCGGAAGCTGGAACAGCCGCCAGACAAGACTCGACGGCAGGGTCCGCGCCCAAATGATGCTCAATCTCCGACAGCTCGATTCTCTGACCGTTGACTTTGACTTGATCATCTTTGCGCCCATGGAACTCGATCCCGTCCTCAGTAAGTTTGACCAAGTCTCCGGTCTTGTAGAACCTGCGTTCCCTGTTGGCAGCAGTCGTTGGGAACTGTCTACACCACTTCGGGTTGGAGATGAAGGAAACTGCCGTTCTCTGGGGGTCATTCAGATACCCTTGAGCGAGGATGGGGCCTTCTATCACGAGCTCGCCAACAGCGCCGATGGGCATGAGTCTGTCGTGATTGGCGGCATCAGTGACCCAGCAGATACCACCCACAGCATGACCGATATCCGAGGGCGAAGAATCCAGTGTAACACTTGGGTTGACAGCAGCCACCACAGCAGTCTCACTTGGTCCGTATGCGTTCATGAGACGAATTGACGGCGCCCACGAAGAGATATGAGCAGAAGACATGGCCTCACCTCCGAGCACCAATGTCTCGAGACCAGGGACAAGCGAGGGCTGGAGCAGCTGGGCCACCGAAGGCGTCAATAGAGCCCAGTTTACGTTCAATCTGTTGATAGCCCCTGCAAGATCGTGGAGGCGCTCGTCGGTACTTGGAACGCAAACTGTCCCGCCATGGATAAGCGTGGTGAGGATCTCCATGATACTGGCGTCAAATGTATATGAGGCAAACTGTAAGACGCGTGACGACTCTGTCATGCCCATGGCGCGACCGTGGGCATAGGCACCAGTGTAAAATGCGGAGTGGTCCACAATGGTTCCCTTGGGCTTCCCAGTCGTGCCAGAGGTGAAAATGATGTAAGCTGGACTGGCGGTGGATAGTGATAGAGGCGCTGGGTTGGTTGGAGCGTCTTGGGCTTGGGTTGCTAGAGCCTGCGAGACAGTGATGACCTGTGATCCGAGCTTCGTCAATCGCTCGGCGTGCTGATCAGACGAGAGAACGACTGTAGCACCAGTGTCTGTGAGAATTCCTTGGATCCGAGCATCGGGGTGTGCTGGGTCGAGAGGCACAAAGGCAGCACCCGACTTGAGAATGGCCAGGATGGATACAACGACAAGAGATGACTTGTCCATGCAGAAAGGAACGATGGAGTGGACTGAGACGCCATTTGCCATCAATACACCAGCCAGATGTGTAGATTGAGAGTCCAGATCAGCGTACGTGAGGCTTTGGTCCCACGACACGACAGCGAGTTTATCTCGTGGTTGAGCCAGCGTCTGAACCTCAACAGCCTCGTGAATGAGTCGCCCTGAGGGGGGTAGGGGAGTATGGTTCATATCACGCAGCGCCTGTAGGTCACTGCAGCTCAACAAAGGTACATCGCGAAGCTTCTCATCCAATAGGTCAGACGACGACACGGACTCAAGCATCAGCGCAAATTGATCCATGATACGCTGCATCTGAGGCTCAGGTACAACGTTGGGATCAAAGTGCACGACAGTCTCGAGCTCGCCATCCGCAAAGTGACACGAGAGCATGAGCGGGTATGAGGAATAGAAGTTCGTACCGGCCATCTCGTTTGACTGCTCGCACCAAAATGTATCAGTCGACTCCCGAGGTCCGTAGTTGATGGCCAAGAGGTTCTGAGCGCCGCAAGCAAGGGCAGTATCAGCGCTGATGTTCCTGATAGACTGGATACCGGCGAACTGGTGGTTCCTCACAGCTGCGGACCGATCCTGCACAGAGGCAAGTAATGTAGCGACAGTTTGTGAAGGCTCAATGACTACACGTGTTGGCACAGTAGCCAACGTGATACCCGCCATTTCCTCGATCCCGACGACCGGAGCATCGCGTCCTGTCATAGTCTCCCAGAAGACGACGTCGTTGGTTCCAGAGTAGGTAGAGACCGCCATCGCCCAGGCTGTGCGGATTCTAGTAGCGGCGGTGATCTCTGATCCTGGTGTGCTCTCCAATGTTGCTTTATGAACCATCAGGCTCGTTGAGGAAGGCTGGTACTCGGCGTTGGGAAGACGTGGAAAGTGCTGGGTGGACATGTTCGAAAGATGCGACATCCAGAAGTTGCTGTCTTGCTTCGGGTCCCGGTCCGTGAGGTGCTTGATGAAGTTGGAGTAGTCAGGGCCCTTGAGTTGCGTGGAACTCAAATCGTCATGGTAGCATCGCTTGACCTTGTCGAGGATGAGAGGAAGACACCAGCCATCGTAGATGGAATGATGGATAGTCCAGACAAAGCATTTGCCTGCAGAGACATCGTCAACGAGACCGTAGCTGGTCAATCTTGCACCGTTATGCAGTGGGAGCTGGTGTCTTATCGCGTTGGCATCAAAGAGGCTGGCAAACAGGGACCATTGGGGTACTTCCTCGACGACAACAACTTGCACGAACCCAACATCCTCTGTATGAACGATCCTTGTGCGCAGCGATGGCTCAGCTTCCACCACGGTGCTCCAGGCGTTCTGGAACCTGACGGTGTCGATGTCGGCTGGCAGTCGATAGACGAGTTGCGCCACATAAGCCCCAGGCTCCTTAGTTGAGAGAGCCATAAGACCCTCTTGCAGTGCGGAACAAGGATACATGTCTTCAACATTGCCAACGTCTATTCCAGCAGAGTCTGCAACAGTCTGTCTCAAGGCGGCGACCGAACACTCGCTAGGCAACAACGAGAATGGCCGGTATGTCATGGTTGGGGCCTTCGACAACGGCACAGCCGACTCCGCCATGTCCAGCAGGGATGGCTTCTGGAACACTCCAGCCACTGTCAGGTCAATATTGGAGCATCGAGCAAGCGTCACAAGCTGCATGGCCCCAATCGAGTCTCCTCCAAGCTTGAAGAAGTGATCTTGGACTCCGATAGACGCCACGTCGATGTCAAGCAGCTGAGCCCACATCGCTGCCAGCTGCTTCTCCACCTCGCTGAACGGTGCCCTGCCGCTCTTGAGGGCAAGCTTGTAGGTCTTCATCCTGGCTGTCGGCACCGACTCTCCCAGAATCCTAAGGCTGCGCCGATTGAGCTTGCCTGAGGAAGTAAGAGGCATCTTGGAGACAGGGAGCCACGCCGATGGAACCATGTAGGCGGGAACTGCGTTGAAAAGCACAATCTCGAGCTTCTTGGCGTGAGACCTAAACCAGTCTTCCATGTCCAGCACCATGCTATCATCGCTGGTTTCTCTGAGGGAAATATCGGCATCGCCACATATGAAGCAGGCGAGCAACTTTCTGCCCTGTGATGTGACGAGCTCCACGGCAGATTCCCAGCCCTTGGGGAGATTCTCCTCAATATGGTGCTCAATCTCTCCAAGTTCGATGCGCTGGCCGTTGAGCTTGACCTGGGTATCCTTCCGCCCAAGGTAGGTAAGTGTGCCGTCAGAGTTGTAGCGCACAAGGTCGCCGGTCTTGTAGAGCTTGCGATCCCGGCTACCGTTCTCAGTGATTCCCTCGATACAGGCGGGTGGAGGAACAAAGGACTGGGCCATCTTCTCTGGGAGGTTCAGGTAGCCTCTAGACACGATTGGACCATCAATGAGGAGTTCACCAACGCAGCCAATTGGGACGAGAAGATTGTGATCAGTCGCATCGACTACCCAAGCGACACTACCAATGGCACGGCCAATGTTGTTGGCCTTACCTGGCTGGGCGATATCTCCAGAGTAAGTCGAATTGACGGAGCATTCCGACGGCCCGTAGCAACATCGCAGAGACACAAAGTCCCGCCAGATTCCAACGCACTTGGTAGTCACCGCTTCACCTCCAAGAGCCAGAGTCTTCAAAGTCGGAACATCCGATGGCTCGAGGAAGCAAGCCACAGTGGGTGTTATGTCAGCTAATGTGACGCTGTGACGATTGATGGCTCCGGCCAAATCGTTCAGCCTCTCGTGGTCCGAGGGTACGCATACGCAGCCTCCCAGACTGATAGTGCTGAAAATCTCTGCGAGACTATTGTCAAAAGTGTATGAAGCGAACTGCAACACCCTCGAGTCTGGGCCGTAACCTAGCCGGGGGCCTGAGTACATGGAGTTGCTGGCGATGCCTCTGTGCTCGAGGACTACACCCTTGGGACGTCCTGTGCTGCCGGATGTGTAGATGACGAAGCAGGCGTTGTCGGGCGTGACTGGAGGAAGAGGTGGCTCAGGCGCCGTAGAGATAGTCTGAAGTAGATCTGCGTCCACAGCGACGACGGTCGTGACGAGGGAGCTGAGCTTGGACACTAACGAGGGAGATACAAGGGCGATAGTAGACCCCGTATCCTCGACACGAAGTCGATGCGCAGCTTCCGGGTGCGCTGGGTCCAGAGGCACGCATACACCGCCAGCTTTGAGAATAGCCAGCATCGAAACTATGGCGAAGGCTGACTTCTCGAAGCAGACGACCACAAAAGTCTCTAGACCGACGCCCAAGGAGGCAATATGATGGGCGAGTCTGTCAGAGGCCGCATCAAGCTCGGCGTACGTAAAGCCCATATCCCATGAGACAATCGCGGGGCTGTCGGGCCGTGAGGCAACCTGCTGCTTGAACAATTCATGCACGCAGCTCTCAATGGCGTCAGGAATCCGCTGGTTCCACTGAGAAATCTGGTTGCTATGCGAGGAACCTAAGTGGTCGAGCTGAGCAATGGTCTGGTCGCAATGATGTAGAATATTGCTCAGCGCCTTTGTAAAAGTGCTAGCGACATTGGCAGCTTGCCCATCCGACAGAGTGTCAGACCAGTACATCAAGTCAATCGCCATGTCGTGCTCGCCTGCCTCAATGTTGACCGACACGTTGTACTCATCAGGATCGTAGGTAGGGCAGCATTCCTCAAACACGAGGTGCGTCTGTGTCGCTGGCGGTAGCTTTCTGTACGACAATGCTGTGTTGAACAGAACAGCGTCAGAGAGCTGAAGGGCGTGATGAACCTGGGCCAGCGGCGTGTGGCGATACTCTAGACTCTCGAGATAATCCCTCTGCACTGAGCCCATCATGTCCGCCAAGCTTGTCGTGCTATCAGCGTTGACACGACATGTGACCATGTTGATGATGGGACCGACGGCATCACGAATACCTTCGATTGGTAGATCACGAGCTGATGTTAGATAGCCGAAGCAAACCTCATCGGAGCCAGTGTATAAACGCAACGTGACTGCCCACGCAGCATAGATGGCATTCACAATAGTGACTCCTTGTCGCTCACAAAGACTCTGCAGCTCAGCGAGCTCGTCAAATCTGACACGCAAGTGTCGCAGCTCCTTGACCTCTGCAATCTCCCCGTCGTCCAGAACTGGGAAGAGACATGGCTCGATACCCGCTAGGTAAGACTTCCAGTAGTCGACGCCGGGTTGGACCGGCTGCTTTTGGAGAGCGTTGATGTAATCGCGATACAGCGGGCCTGTTTCAGCCGTGAGGAGCCCTTGATATGCCAGTGCAAGGTCGCGGAAGAGGATCGACAGCGAAGTGCCATCCATGATGACATGACTGATGTCTAGTCTACAGAAGACCTTGCCGCTCTTTGCTTTGCAGATGTGGAAATGGTGTAGTAGTCGTGATGAGTTGTCGCCATGGTTCATGGGTACCTTCAGTGCTGCAATCGCATCCTCATCCGTGCCGCTCTCAGAAACAGTGAATGGAACTTGAACTTCCTTGAGCACCACCTGGTCGTAGATAGAGTCCTCCAACGTCACGCTCTCCAAGAAGATAGTCCTGAGAATAGGATGGTACTGCACCATGCGCTTCCAAGCAGTGATGAGCTTGACAACATCCACCCTGTCGCCGCTTCTGTTCTTGATCTCATGGAGTGTGTAGGCAGCGTAAGCAGCGTTCTCCCTAGTGGTGCTGACCAAGAGCCCTGACTGCATAGGCGAACAAGGGTAGGCGTCTTGAACAAGGCCCACGTCTGTGATTCCAGCCTCGGGGAGCTTCTCCTCTGTGAATACCCTCAGACGATCATATGTCAGGGACAGGAGCGGAAAGTCGCTTAGAGTAGGCTCTAGTGCCATTGAAGCCAGGGATGTAATGACTTGGCTGAGGCTCTGCTCGCAGCTGGAAATCCACTGATGGATCTGCGGTCGGTGTTTCATGTTCTGGTTGAACCCGAATGAGAAACGGAGAGATCCCTTGACTATGACGGCGGACACCTCGAAGAGGGAGATGCAGGCTGTCAGAGGCCCAACATCTGCACCCTGGCTTGCCTCTCTAATCTCGCCAGCGATGTTGCTCTCGGGAGTGAAGAGAGCGCCCTCACGCTCCAGCTGTTGGTACTGGCCCAGGTAGTTAAAGGTGATCTCCAAAGGCCAGTGACGAGAAAATGCTTCTTGACCCTCCTTCGTCAGCCAGCGACTCGCAAAGTAAGGCCGGCCGTTGTCGAGAACTTTGCGCCTTGCGTCCTTGATCATCTTGACTGTGTCGATGAGACTGGATTGAGCATCTGATCCAGCAAAGACGGGGTAAATGGTAGTGAACCATCCGACGATGTTCGACAGGTCGATTGAGTTGTCCCAGACTTCTCTGCCGTGACCTTCTGCAAAGATGGCTGGGATTGGACGGTCGGTGAAGGTCTGGCCGAAGGAATACACCATCGCTGCCATGAGAACATCCGGGATCTCTGTGCGTAGTGCGTCGTGGCATTTCGATAAAAGTAAAGATGTCTGGTGTGGCCCGATCTCAAAGCCTTGACGGACCATCTGCCCATAGATATTGGGAATATCTGTCATACCCCAGTACCCAGCATCGCCGTCTGGAATGCCGTGAATTGGCAGGACTTGGTCTGGCGTCTGCGTTTCGGCATGTTCAGACTGCATCTTGCACCAGACCTGGAACGGAAGCGGACGATCTGCGTCGTACACAGCTTCGGGTCGTAGTAAGATCTCCTCGAGTTCTTGAAGTATGATTCTCCAGGATACAAGGTCGATGACCAGGTGATGCGCCACGACGAACAAGAGCTGCTCTTCTGTCCCTCGGTCGATCAGGTCAGCAGCGACAAGTGGACCTCGTACAGGATCTAGACAGGTCTGGCTGTGGACAAGCGACTCATCGACGTCCTCTTGTGAAATCAGTTTCAAGCCACGCAGTCGATACGAGGACGTAATGTCGCTGGTGATGCGTTGCTGCCACTCCCCCCCAACATCCTGCTGGAACCGCGCACGGAGCATCGAGTGCCTGGAAATAAGAATCTCCATTGCCTTGCGCAGATCTGCCTCATGAATACGCTGGCTCGTCCGCAGCAAAAAGCTCTGGTTGTAATGGCCCTGCTCGTAGTTTGGTCTGGAAAAGTAGAGCTTCTGGATAGGCGAGAGGTCAAACGGTATTTCAACCGTCTCGTGCAGCAGCGTGGGCCTCTCAATGTCCTTGACCTGTAGAGCCAGAGCGCTGATGGACTTGCAGTTGATGATGTGCGAAACTGCCAGCCCGAGACCGCGTTTCTTGCACTCACTCATGACTTGCATCGCCGAGATAGAGTCACCACCGACGCTGAGGAAGGATTGTGCGAGGCCAAGCTGTTCTTCCTTGAGGTTCAAGACGTAGGCCCAGATCTTGTGTAGCTCCAACTCAGTCTTGCTTCCGCACTCGAGATCCCCCGATCGTTGCACGACTGCTGCCACAGGATTGAGTTGACGATACAGAGCCTCGCTCATACTATCGATCCATTTCGCTGTCTGCTTCCGATCCAGTTTTCCAGACTGGAGACGAGGGATAAACTCGACGGCAAGCCACATGGACGGTACCATGTATGAGGGCAGCCTCTCGCTAAGCAGCTCCTTGGTCTCGGCAATCTTTTCCTGCGCAGTGCTCTCAAGATCGCCCCCGATGAGCTTATATGGTTGACCATTGGGTACGAGATCTTCACTCATGGCATCACAGAGCTGCACAATGGCCAAAAGTCGACCATTGCAGAACCCTTCTCTTGGTAGGACTACCATGCCGTGCTTGATGCTGGCACTGGCATTGATGTGATGCTCTATCTCCCCAAGCTCGATGCGTTGCCCGTGAAACTTGATCTGCGCATCTTTGCGTCCGGCGATATGAAACGTCCCGTCGTGGTTGTACTTGACCAGATCGCCCGTCTTGTACATTCGTCTAGGACCAATCCGCGACGGTTGGTTCCTTGCCCACAATGGATCTTCAATAAAGGCTTCTTGCGTTTTCTCGGGCTCCTTGTAGTACTCGCGTGCGAGCGTATGGCCCTCAATGACCAGCTCGCCCACTGCACCAACGGGCATGAGACGGTCATGATTGTCCCGATCCACGATCCAGCAGTTTATGCCGACCTGGTGGCCAATGTTCAACGGATTGGTCCCTTGCACCATGCCTCGGTGGACGTGTGAAACAACAGAGGTTTCAGCAGGCCCATAGCAGTTGATGAGGTTGATGTGCGACCATGAGCGAATAACAGCCTGCGTCATGGCCTCTCCGCCAGTAACGAGTGTCTTTAAGGTCGGGACGTTGGCGGGGTTAATGAACTTGACAAACGTCGGGGTCAAAAGCGCCCAGTTTGCTCGGAGCTCGGTGATGGCCTCTTCAACTGCGTTGAGGCGAGCGTCTTCGCTGGGTATGCAGACACATCCACCCAAGATCATACACGTCAAGATCTCAGTGATACTCACGTCAAACGTAGACGCAGCGAATTGGAACGATCGCGTGTTGGAGTCCATCATCATAGCAGGCCCGTGAGCAAGAGCGCTCGACATGAGAGCTCTATGTTGGATGAGGGCTCCTTTGGGCTCGCCCGTTGTGCCACTCGTAAATATCATGTAGGCTCCGTTCTGCCACGATCCACAGTCAACCTCGTCGCTCTGTTCGGGTAGCTCGGTGAATAGCTGCTCATCGACAGGGATCAACTCTGGCGCTACGCTCTCCAGCGTGCGCTGATGCTGAGGAGAGCACAAGATCGTCTTGGCTTCCACCTTTTGCGCGAGAGATTGTAGACGAAGCAGCGGTTGCGAAGGGTCGAGAGGGACAAAGATGCCGCCTGCTTTGAGGACTGCGAGCATGGAAACAACAACCCATTTGGACTTGTCAAAGCAGATGGGCACAAAGACTTCAGACCCGACTCCTGAGGCTTGCAGACGACAGGCCAGACGATCTGCTAGTGAAAGGACCTGTTGGTAGGAAAAGCTTCCATCCCAAGCACAAACGGCTTCTGCATCGGGTCTCAACGCTCCTTGCATTGACACGGCCTGGTGGATGCACTTGCGCACATTTCTCAAAGGGTTGCTGTTCCAGGCCAAAACTTGTCGCTCATTTCGCTCACTGAAGAAGCTGATTTGTGATAGGAGAGTCTCCGGGTGGTTGATGATTTCCCTGAAAATCTTGTCGAAGGTGCTGCTGATGTTCTCTGCTTGATCTTGGCCCATAAAAGAAGGGTCCCATGTCAAGACAGTTTCAAGCGTCGCGGGATCTACTGTCATGCGAATTTTGCACCACAAAGGATGTTGTCCGCCATTGTTTCTAGGCTCATTTCCCTGGTTCTGAATTGACAGAATCGTGTTGAATAGCGTTTTGGCCTTTTCATCGCTCATCAACACCAGCGACGAAAAGCTGCCGTTGAGAATTTCTCCAACGCGCTGATTGGCAGGCAAACGGGCATGCACCGTTTGTCTCATGCGCTCTGCAAGTCCCGACGTTTCGGTAACGCTGTGCTGACTGTCAAAGCCGAAACACACATCATCCAGCCCGGTGAAGCAGCCAAGAAGGATCGCCCATGCTGCACAGAGAGCAGAGCACGTGTCTCTCAGATCATCAAGTGCAACGTGGTAGATCCGGCTGGTAAATTCCAGGTGCTCAGAATCTGTCTCAGACAGATCGAACTGCGGGAACATGGCAGACTTCAGATCCGGCATTGACTGATCGGCGGTTCTGACACAGCCGCAAGAGACATTGGGTGCCATTGTTTAGGTTATGTAAAATGATTCGGTGAGTATTTGCTGTTGAGGAGTTGTATGACAGAAAGATGTAGACCGTCAAACGAATAAGGTGTGAAATTCGTGCGTCACGACAGCAATAATTTTGTCTAAGGTGACTGCATCTATTCGGATGGAGGTTACAGCAGATATATCCTTGTTACGGATCAGCAACATCACTACCAAGAAAGAGCATTCAAGGTGTCATTCAGGGATATACACAGCAAACCATGCCGAATTAGAGGACTATTTTTCAGCTCTTCAGCGACATGCAGCCTGTTTCGCCATGCTGGCTCCTCTTTCTCGCTTCTGAACCGCAAGACGATAGTTGTCTCCGCCCATTGGCCACTGACAACGCCGTCACACCGATGACAACATGGTAAGTCCAGTATTTCCGCTATTTTCTATTTCTCCCTTTCCTCGTTTCTCTCGTTCCACCATATACGAACCGGTTTTGGGACCCGGAGAGCCCGGATGTAGCCCGATATGGTATGGAGCCCAGAGGTATCTTCTTGACTGAGACATAAGAGGCGGATCAAAGTCCAGGGTGCTTCGTTCAGGCGACCAACTTGACAAAGCAAACTTGGCCAAGCCAATGTCAAGAGCACGTAGGCGGCGCAGCTTAGCCAGAAAGAAATCAGACAATCCGAATGGAACCGTCATGGCAAATTTATCCTTGTCACCTAATCGCGCGATTCACACTCAACAAGTGGTGGAGTGACATACATGGCGCGCAAAGGCCAGTAAACTAGGCTATGCATCGAGATACTCCATAAGCCGGCTCGGCACTGGCAGACTGCAGCTAGTCACGAGCCGACCATGCAGCCGTTTTGCTTGTTTGGTGGACAGACGCAGCCGCGAATCACGCTTATTCACTCCCTTCTTGGCGGTGCACCGTTGGAGCTCCTGCAAGGACTACATTAGTTCGGTTCCGCTACCGGGGGGAAGAGGCTTGGCAGGCCTCAAGAGAAGGCATTCCGGATGATATGACTAGCGTGAATCTATGTCAACACGCAAGGGGGCGTGGTAAGATATTGGGATCTCTGTCCTAAGTAGCAAAAGGGTTTAGGTAAGCTTGGTATAATTCGGTAAAGATCGACTACTCGATCTTAGACTAAGTTTTACTAGTACCTTGATCTAATATCAGACGTTTTCTTGCATCCCGGGGACATGGTATGATGGGAGGGAGGTCTGGCTTGCAGGGAGCGGGGTCATGTGGCGGCTGCAGTGCCAACACAAAGAAAAGCTTTTTTTTAAATCATGATGTGTGTTTTATGTCAAACGTCGTATTCTATGTGAGTTTACAATACCTGCTGAACTGCTAAGTTCTGTCCCGGTTTACAAATTATAGAAACTGGATGTAAATAATTCATTGAAAAGAATGCTCAATACTAATTAATAAATTTCTCCTCTTTTTGTAAAGTTAACAAGATCTCTCTTCCAATTTCAACTTTTTGCAAAGGGGACTTTAGTATTCATCCTCGTAGTGGTGGACATGACTCACGGGGCGGCATATGCATGTGACGTGCCGGTATGGATTCTAATGCAACAACACAGGGATAAAAGGCCACACAAACTAAAATACGAGCCGTGAAGTGGAACTAGTTATCTAATTCCATGATCTGAGCAGGCCTGTTCAGTGGGGACAGAAAAAGCAAAGAATTGCTGAACAAGAGGCTGAGAGAAGTAAGTGACGATCTTTCTGAGCCTTGAAAAGGCAGGTAAACAAGATAATTTCCAGATGGCGTATGATCCGCACTCAGCGCCTCAGAACAGGATTGATTGGTACTCTTCTCAAAAGCCAATCAAGCAATTGCCTTGGGGGGTATGGCACTAATAGCCGCTGCCGTGCTTGCATTAGTCCCCGCCGGTGAGGTGGCTTCGATGAAGGCCTAGTTCACACTAGCTATACCGGTAATTGATTATGATCGCCGCTACGGAGCCAGCTGAAAGTCACCCCGGGAGATTGTCCTAAAAATCGCCGATCTTTGACATATCAGTTCCGTTCCTGATCCTCCAAAGTCCCCAGATTGATCAGATCATGGCGTCTCGGAGCCCAGGTGTAGAGTACGTACAGTGCTTCCCTTACGACCGGGCCGCCGGGTTGTTTTCACCGGCTTCGTATCGTATCCGCCATGTGCGCTACGCCGTTGCGAGCCGTGCCATGTCCCTTGCCTACCCTGTATGTACCCTTGCACCATGTCTGACGTGGCTCGCTACCCCATGATGACATTTTGTTTTTCCGCATTTTTTTCATTTATCCTGGTTTTTTAGTCTGTGGAGCATTTCCTCGGCTAAGCTTGCAAAGGGGCTCTATTGTACTACGTAGTAGGGAAAGATTTCTCAGCTCGATTAGCGTTTGATTGATGCCCCGTTGATCGAACAACCTTAATCGATTCCTCCCGAACATTGATTGTAATTACGGATTGTAAACCTTTGGTCTCACATCCGGCACAATCATGGACTCGCTGTCGTGCGACGACTCTTTTGGTCCATATGCTGGTGGCTGTAGAGGCGGTTTCGACTTTACACTGCTTTTTGAGGAGTCAATCCTCACTATACCCATCACCGCTTTGGTGCTTCTCGCTGCCCCATGTCGAGTTCTGTATCTCTTGCACAAGAATAAGGTCAAGGTAGAAAACAGCCGCTGGCTGTACTGTAAAATTGTGAGTTAATTGATGTGCTTGCGTCGTGTCTCGGGTACTAACAGCCTCACGACATTATGTCTCGGTCTCCTAGCAGCGCAGATCAGCTTTCTCATCTCGTGGACTCGCTCTTCAGCAGTCACCACTAGAACCTCTCTTGCGACTGCTGCCTTATCTTTTGTCGCATCAATTGGCATCTTGTGTCTATCCTACGTCGAGCACGTCTATTCGTACCGACCGTCGACAGTGCTCATACTCTTCCTGCTCTTCTCTGCTCTTTTCGACGCTGCGCAAACACGGACACTATGGCTCCAAGGTTACAATCGGCCCGCCGCAATCACCGCGCTCATAGCGACTGTGATCAAGATTCTCATGCTCGCTGTCGAGGCAATTGAGAAGCGTCGTTTCCTACGGCCCCAGTACCGTGCCTTGCCCCCCGAGGTCACTGGTAGTGTCTTGTCGCACTGGTTCTTCTCTTGGCAAATACCGATGTTTCGCTCTGGCTATTCTAAGCACCTAGAGATTGAGGCGCTGTTTCCCCTGGAAAAACATTTCAAGTCTTGGTATCTTCAGAAGCTTTTGCAGACAGCGTGGGTTAAAGGTCTGTCCTCCTGCCAGTTCCATTGACCTCAATTGACTGGATACTGACATTGGTATAGCATCTCGGAAAGGAAACCATGCTCTGATGCTTACGGTCCTGAGGACCTTGAAGTGGCCTACCCTGTCTATAATCTTTCCACGTTTGTGCTTCATCGGCTTCACCTTTTGCCAGCCATTCCTCATCTCTGCTACCCTCGCTTGGGCAGAGAACGACAGCGACTCTGACGACATGAACCAAGGATATGGTCTAATAGGCGCATGGTTTCTTGTCTTCATGGGTCTAGCAGTACGTGCATCTCTGTCGCTACAGGCGCATCCTACTAACTTTCTATGCTACAGGTGACGAGCGGCCAGTATCAACACCTGACGTATCGCGCCATCACCATGGCACGCGGTCAGCTCGTCTCGATCTTGTTCGACAAGGCCACGGATATCAGTATCGCTGCTGCTGACCCTAGCGCAGCACTGACTCTGATGAGTGCCGACATTGAGAGGATCGATACGGGCTGGCGCACTGCGCATGACGTTTGGGCCAACTTGGTTGAGATTGTTATCGCAGTCTACTTGTTGGGACGCCAGCTTGGTATTGCGTGTCTTATTCCTGTCGGAGCAGCGATTTGTGAGTCTATCCATCTTCTAGTCATTTTCGAGAACGACAGGTGAAAGTACTGACCTGGCCCTGGGTGTGTCTAGTCTCCATCATCGGGTCTGTTATCGCCGTCAGTTTTGTCATGGCTCGTCAAGCCGCATGGCTAGAGGCCATTGAGAAGAGAATATCTGTTACCTCGCAGATGCTAGGCAGCATGAAGGGCGTCAAGATGTGTGGGCTGACCGACGTGCTCAGCACTCGTATCCACGCCCTGCGAAACGACGAGTTGCGCATTTCCGGCAAGTTCCGCAGGTTGTTGATCTGGAACATGGTATTGGGTGAGTACATATCTTGCATGTTCCAAACAGTTTCGATGGGATGTTTGCTTACGAGAAAACTACAGCATACCTCGCTCCTATCTTTGCCCCAGTCCTGACCTTTGCAACATACAGTCTTGTCGCCCAGTCACGGGGAGGAGACAATAACCTGGACATAAACCGCATGTTTACATCTTTATCACTGTTTGCACTGCTCAACGAGCCTATTTCCTCGTTTGTTACGTCGTTGTCCTCTTTGATGGGGTCCGTCGGGAGCTTTGCGCGTATACAGGCTTTTCTCAACACAGACATTCGCGTCGATAGCAGAATCATCTCTCATGATAATACGAGCGAAGGGTCATCGACCTCAGTTTCTCTACGCAGCGAGCAGGAGAAACACTCGGTATTATCCGAGAAAGAGCCTAACACTACCCAGAGAGGCCCATTCCTGATCGATTCTCTGGACGGCAACTGTATCGTCGTCAAGACAGGTGCTTTTGGATATGATCCTACTCAGAAACCTATCCTCAGTGATATCACCGCTCATGTTCCACTGGGCAACCTTACCCTTATCGTGGGGCCAGTGGGCAGCGGCAAGTCAACTCTTCTCAGAGCATTTCTCGGAGAAGTGGCAGTCATGGCCGGATCTATCCAAGTGATGAATTCGGAAATCGCCTACTGCGACCAAACTCCCTGGCACATGAACGGCACTGTGAGAGATAGCATCATCGCCTTCTCGCACGCCGACGAACGATGGTATCAAAAGGTCCTAGAGGCTTGTTCTTTGACAGAAGATCTCGGCCAACTGCCCAACGGCGATCTCAGTAGGATCGGGAG